ACAGGCCAGCGACGGGCGGCAAAGGGCAGCACGGGGCCGCAGTGGGCGGCTAAGGCAGGGCCGCGACGTGTGGCGACGGGCCAGCGACGGGCAGCTACGGGCCGGGACGGGCCGGCTGAGGCAGGGCCGCGACGGGCCAGCTAGGGAAGGGCGCGCGACGGCGCAGGTATGGCAGGCGCGAGGCGCGCTTCGGGCAGGGCTGGAAAAAAAATGTTCGTGGTGGGCCCTAAAAAAACGTTCCCACGAGGGAACCTGCTCAGAATACCATGTTAGAATACTGACCGAATGAATGACTGAATTAGCAAGCAGGTGGGTACAAGTAGGAAACCTAAAAGTGTTGTACCCTGTATGGACTACCCCACTACAGCCTAGATAGACTATAGCATATGAGTTTGACAGAAAAATATTTCGGTGGTCAGGGGGAGGAACAGCAGCTGTGTTTCACTCTGCCTGGGAGTTTTCGGAGAATATCGACAAAGGCCTCGGCGAGTTACGACAAGGTCGTCGGTGGTGCTGACGTCATCAGAACCTAATTTCCGGTTTTGCGATAGAGTTTTCAAGTCAGACACAGGTCAGTTACGTGATCCGCCCACCTCGCCGAACGCCGCTAATGTGCCGCAATGATTTCACATTTTTCGCGACGATCTTCGACGACGAACCCACACGATCTGGAGTCACGACCGAAGATTTTCAGGACAGTTCCTTCGTAGTCCCGCTATTGACGACAATGTCAAAAGGTTCAACATGCGACAAAGTGGAGTTTTCAGGTGGCAGCTGCTGATGCTGCAGCAATTGAGGATTTCGATTCTGCCACAGCAAAAAAACAACAGACATGATTTCAGACGGCAGATGCTGCCAACTGGAGAAATTGCAACATTCGAGAAAGTTCGGGTACAGTTTCAGCATCACGACAACGAGAAAATTCCATCACGGAAAAATTATTCGACGGCCTGCTGCTGAGTCCCTGCATAAGTGAGTTATAAAGGGGCTCTCGACGGGGTTCACCTTGAAGGCTTTTAAGCGCCGCATCAGCGATATTTTGTCGCCGACTACATATCGACAGTGCAGTTGCAACAATTCAGAAGGGGTTCCTCACACTTCGTAGTCTGGATTAACCCTGGAATACAGGGTGGTTGGAGTCTTCTACCCGCGCAGCTGTGCATATTTTGGTGGGCAGTATTTTTCGAAAGGGGGGAGAGTGCTGTCGCACTGTACTTGTCAGTTTTTCTGACAGTTTTCGTCTGACACATCAAGCACGACGGACGCTCGCGATGGCTTCATCAACCTCTGACATCGTGTCAAATTTACCGCCATTATCTGTCAGAATAACTATGTAGGAATGATTGGATTAGCAAGAGTTGGGGTACAAGTACTAACCCTAGAAGTGCTGTACCCCATAAGGAGTGCCCCACTATAGCCTACAAGTAAGATTGTACTTTGACACACCCCCATAGGCTAAGTGGGGGACAACAAGACGGTCACAAGACCAGTTAAGCAAGACAACAGAGCAAAGCAAAGCAAAGCTCAGGGTGGATCTCAAGGACACCACACAATCCGAGCACAAGCAAGCGGCCACAAGGCCAGTTCAGATGCAGAGTTATAATAGCAAGGCAATACACTGATCACAACCTAGCAAGAGGAAACATGCAGGCATAAATATAGATAGCAGTGTACAGCAAGTGCAAGATCAAGAGACAAGCAGGTGAGGTAGAATGGGCACAAGCCCAAGAGCAGTGCAAAAACGATGAAGATCACCAGACCCGAGGGCCTTGGTGAAGACATCAGCAGTATTAGCCCGAGAGGAGACGTAAGAAAGGCGAAGCTGACCACGCTGCTGCAGCTCTCAAGCAAGAAAGTAGTGAAGAACAATGTGCTTCGTTCTGTGCTCCAGTCTCTGCTCCCGACACAAGGCAAGCATGGCCTTGTTGTCGACGTACAGAATTGGAGGAGAACAAGGCCGCTCCCCCAAGTCGGTCAGCAGGTAGCTCAGCCAGCATAGCTCCTGTGCAGCCATGGCCCCAGCGTAGATCTCGGCCTCACAGCTGGAACCAAGCATAGAAGAACCAAGCACGCCTGAGTCAAGCGTGAAAGTGTGCAAGGCTTCAGCTGAGGCAGGACCTGAGGCAGTAGACGCACTAGCACCTAGAGCGACGGCAGACTCACGAGCACCTAGAGCTGCAGCAGACTCACCAGCACCTGGAGCGGTAGTAGACTCACTAGAACCGAGAGCAGCAGCCTCTACACTACCAGGGACGCATCGCTGAGAAGCAAAGTCGCGAGGTTGCTGAGGCCACATAAAACCAAAACCTCCACCATCAGGACTGCCTTGCTGAATGACCCACTCACGAAGCTGCTGAGGGGTGGGATCGTCTGGGAGAGGCCGTGACCGCTGCTGTCCACCCCTGGCCGCTGCAAATGCCGTGATAGTGGCCATGACGAGCAGTGACTGTCAGTAGTAGGTCCAGCACCTCCAACACCAGCAGCACCTTCAGTACTCCCAGCCGCACCTCCAGCACCTCCAGCACCAGCAGCACCTCCAGCAGCAGCAGCAGTAGCTCGAGCAGCAGCAGTAGCAGTAGTAGCAGCAGGGCAGCGGCACCTCCAGCACTCCCAGCAGCACCTCCAGCAGCAGTAGCATGAACAGCAGTAGCAACAGTAGTAGCAGCAGGGCGGCTCGGGTTAGGCAGGGCGGCTCGAGCTGGGCGGCGCTGCTCGGCCTGGGCGGCGCGGGTAGCAGGGCGTGACGTGTTAGAGGTCCACTGGTGATCCCCGATTGATCCTAGGGAAGGGTTACAGGCTCGTTGTCCTGGGGGGGTTATGGGCGCACTGACCCGCTACTTAACAAGCCCTTTCATCCCAATGGTCTAGTGGTTGGGATTCTGACATGGTATCAGAGCAAAGGTCTCGGGTTCGAATCCCAGTGTGTGCACTTCAGGCATCCCAGTGCGGGGGGGTGTCAGAGGTCCACTGGTGATCCCCGATTGATCCTAGGGAAGGGTTACATGCTCGTTGTCCTGGGGGGTTATGGGCGCACTGACCCGCTACTTAACAAGCCCTTTCATCCCAATGGTCTAGTGGTTGGGATTTTGACACGACGCGCGGGGCAGCATAGTGCAACACGCGGGCTGCAGTGGGGTGCAGCGCGCATGTCAGAATAGAAACTACAGTGTGAGACTAGGAGCCATGCTAGGGTTGAGACTAGGCATGGATGTTGAGAGAGTTGTGGCAAGGGAGAAGTTGGCCAACAAAAGAGGGTTCAATCATGAAAATCAGTACAAGGATATAGGCAAGAACCAAGAATGGTGCACCCCCAACAGTTTATGATAGCTACAGCAGGGCGCAACGCGCGGAGCAGCAGAGCGCGACGCTCGGGCTGCAGTAGGGCGCGACGCGCAGGGCAGTAGGGCGCGACGCACGGGCTGCAGCAGGGCGTGACGCGCGGAGCAGCAGAGCGCGACGAGCGGGCTGCAGCAGGGCGCGACGCGTAGGGCAGTAGGGCGCGACGCGCGGGCTGCAGCAGGGCGCGACGCGCAGGACAGTGGGGCGCGCGCTAGGCAGGGCAGCAGGGCGCGACGCGCTGGGCTGCAGGGCAGGGAGGTGCAGCTCAGGGCAGGGCGGCGCGCGGGCCCTAAGGGCAGGGCAGCGCGATGCATGGGCTGCAGGGCAGCTGGGCGAGGGCTGCAGGGCAGGGTGGCGCGCGCTGGGCAGGGCAGTAGGGCGCGACTCGCAGGCTGCAGCAGGGCGCGACGTGGGGGGGGGCAGGAAGTGCGAGTAGCTGCAGGGCAGCGCGACACTGTACGAGCAGGGCCGAACAGCGCAAGGGCGCTTCGGGCAGGAACGAGCGGAACTACCGGTGGGCCCTAAAAACTTAACAGGTTTCCTGCTCTGAATACCATGTCAGAATAACTGTGTAGGAATGATTGGATTAGCAAGAGTTGGGGTACAAGTACTAACCCTAGAAGTGCTGTACCCCAAAAGGAGTGCCCCACTATAGCCTATAAGTAAGATTGTACTTTGACATTATCGTATGCATCTCCACCGTCCGACGCGCATCCGCCAGATCGATGGCTTTCATTCATCGACGGATTTCATCTCGACATTCGATTTCAACCACCCGATCGACATCGATCAAGATCAACGGCTGACCTTCCAACTCTTTTCAAGTTCGCCCAGTCAACTGGCCAGCCTCGCGTCAACTCGAAAGTCAACGTGCTCCTGATGTTGAGACTCCCATAAAAGCCAGTGACTCCCGCCCCCCCACTGCGTTTTAGCGACACAGTCCGCACCGGCCGCTAGCCACTAGCTGTTCCGCGCTCTCGCTTCCCCTCTTTCTGCTCCACACATTGCGTCGCGTTCTGCTCTCTGCGCGTCGTCGCGTTCTGCTCATCAGGTCGCCGCGTTGCGGAACCGGCGTGCTCCCCGCTTTCAGCGTGGTCGCGTTCTGCCGTGATCAGCACACTTCGGGAGAGCTCGTCGCCGCAGTGCAACAAGGCGGTGAGCTCGTAGTTTCACGCTCCCTTCTATCCGCCTCTTTGCGCGCCGATCCTAATGCATTCCGCGGGTATTGCATTTGTCCGCTCAGAACGGCATTCACCTCTCGCCATCAGCTCAGAACGGCATTCACCTCTCGCCATCAGCTCAGAACGGCATTCACCTCTCGCCGTCAGCTCAGCGCGGCATTCACCTCTCGCCATCAGCTCAGAACGGCATTCACCTCTCGCCATCAGCTCAGCGCGGTGCTCATAGATTCAAGCACATTTATCCCGAATTCAGCCCGCCGCATTCAGCGTATCGCTTTCATATCCCATTTTCCGGTGGCTTCTTACAACGTCACGCTTTCATATCCCCTCTTCTGCTCGCCTCTTACAACTTACACCATTCATATCCCGCTTTGCGCTATCCGCTGTAACGCTTAGCGCATTCACATCCCGCGCTCCAGTCCCGCCTAGCGCATTCAAGACCCGCTTTTTGCGCACCGCGGCAGGCTGTCGCAACTAGCCATGAAACTCTGTTACCAATTTCACCGCCTCACCCAAACTCCCCTCACGCCTCAATGCGTATTTCGATCGTTCACCTCTCGCACACATTCTCCCCGCACCTCGTACTCAATCTCCTCCACCTTCCCCTCTCTCCTGTCAGCCTTATGCCTCTCTCCTATGCCTCATCGCGGACTTCGGGTGGCAGGGGGGGGGGGGGGGGGGGGGGGGGGGGGGGGGGGGGGGGGGCGGGGGGAAGGGAGGGGAATAAGCAGCGGGGATAGGGCAGGCTACCCTCACTCATATCTTCGCCTTGCTCCCTTCTCTCCCCTCTCGTCTCTCCGCTGCGTTCCTTTCTCTCCCCCCCTGTGAATGTAAGTTTGCTCCCTTCTCTCTCATCTCATATCTCTGCATTGCTCCCTTCTATTCCCTCTCGTCTCTCTACCTTGCTCCCTTTTATACTTCTCAGTTCTTCTCAGTTGTCTCTCATCTCATATCTCCGCCTTGCTCCCTTCTATCCCCTCTCGTCTCTCTGCCTTGCTCCCTTTTATACCTCTCGGTTCTCCGCCTTGCTCCCTTCTCTCCCCCCCCCCCCCCTAAGATCCTCCCTTGCTCCCTTCTCTCCCCTCCCATATCTCCGCCTAGCTCCGTTCTCTCCCCTCTCGTCTCTCTTCCTTGCCCCCTCCTCTCCCCTCTCCTCTCTCCGCCTTCCTCCCTTCATTCCCCTCCCCCCCGTAATCCTCCCTTGATCCCTTCTCTCCCCTCTCATATCTCCGCCTTGCTCCCTTCTATCCCCTCTCGTCTCACCGCGTTGCTCTCTTCTCTCCCCTCTCGTCTCTCCGCCTTGCTCCCTTCTATCCCCTCTCATATCTCCGCCTTGCTCCTGAGTGTCCCCTCTCGTTTCTCCGCCATGCTCCATTCTCTTCCCCCCCTGTGACCCTCCCTTGCTCCCTCCTCTCCCCTCTCCTCTCTCCGCCTTGCTCCTTTCTATCCCCTCTCGTTGCCCACCCTTGCTCCCTTCTCTCCCCCCCCTGTGACACTCCCTTGCTCCCTTATCTCCCCTCTCCTATCCGCCTTGCTCCTTTCTATCCCCTCTCGTCTCTCCGCCTTGTTCCCTTCTCTCACCTCTCATTTCTCTTCCTTGCTCCCTTCTCTCCTTTTTCCCTGTTTCCCTCACTCCCTGCTCTACCCTTTCACCTATCTGCCTGGGCTCCCTACATCCACAACTCCCCCCTCTGCCTTACTCCCTTCTCTACCCTGTCCCCCCACTGCCTTACTCCCTTCTCTACCTTGTCCCCTCACTGGATTACTCCCTTCTCTACCCTGTCCCCTCACTGCCTTACTCCCTTCTCTACCCCACACAACGCCCCTTACTCACTTCTCTACGGCCACCCCCTCGCTGCCGAACTCCCTACTCTCCCCTATTCAATCTCTCACAAGTACCCCTTACCGTATGTCTCCCTTCCCCCCCACTCTGCATCATCTTTGGCCTTCCCTTATTTCCACGTCCCGCCACCAACCAGAGAACCCTCAATAACCCTATCCCTTCCCTCATCCTGTATCTTTTTCTCCTCACGCATTCATTCATGGCAATCAGCTTTCTTTGTGCTCTCAAGCATGGTCTCCCTTTCCAAATTATCGGGCCTGGTTATTCGCAGGGATGTGTCAAATGCTGATATTTGTGATAGGCTGTAGTGAGGTGCTCCATAGTGAGTACAACTCAGTTAGGGTTTGCTATTTGTATCACCCACATTCCTAATCTCATCATTCCGTTGCATTCCTACTTTGAGATGGTATCACGAGTAGGTTAGTTCCTCGTTCCTTCCTAGCACGCGCCCTCTGCGCCTTAGCCTCCGCGCCCTCTCCGCGCCTTAGCGCCCTCCTCCTCCGTGCGTCAGCACCCTCCGCGCCCCTAGCCCATCGCCCTAGCATGTCGCCCAGGCCCACGCCCTAGCCCGACGCCCAGGCCCACGCCCTAGCCCGTCGTCCAGGCCCGCGCCCTAGCCCGACGCCCAGGCCAGCGCCCTAGCCCGTCGCCCAGGCCCGCGCCCTAGCCCGTCGCCCAGGCCCGCGCCCCAGCCCGACGCCCAGGCCCGCGCCCTAGCCCGTCGCCCAGGCCCGCGCCCTAGCCCGTCGCCCTAGCCCGTCACCCAGGCCCGCGCCCTAGCCCGTCGCCCTAGCCCGTCGCCGAGGCCCGCGCCCCAGCCCAACGCCCAGGCCCGCGTCCTAGCATGTCGCCCAGGCCCGCGCCCTAGCCCGACGCCCAGGCCCGCGCCCTAGCCCGTCGCCCTAGTCCATCACCCAGGCCCGCGCCCTAGCCCGTCGCCCAGGCCCGCGCCCTAGCCCGTCGCCCTAGCCCGTCGCCCAGGCCCGCGCCCCAGCCCAACGCCCAGGCCCGCGTCCTAGCATGTCGCCCAGGCCCGCGCCCTAGCCCGACGCCCAGGCCCGCGCCCTAGCCCGTCGCCCTAGTCCGTCGCTCAGGCCCGCGCCCCAGCCCGACGCCCAGGCCCGCACCCTAGCCTGTCGCCTAGGCCCGCGCCCTAGCCCGTCGCCCAGGCCCGCGCCCTACCCGTCGCCCTAGCCCGTCGCCCAGGCCCGCGCCTCAGCCCGTCGCCAAGGCCCTCGCCTTAGCCCGTCGCCCAGGCCCGCGCCCTGCCCTCGCACCAGCCCGCACCCCAGGCAGCGCCTAGCCCGCCCTCTGCCCACGCCCTTTCCCCCCGTTAGCACTAGCCCTCGCCCTGCGCCGCCCGACCCGAACTCTCACCAGACCCGTGGTCATTTTAGGGTTAACCCCTCCACCGCCCTGTTCACCGAGCTCGAACCGTCCCTACTCTCACTGGCCTTCTGCTCAGCGGCTGGCAGCCGCTCCTCTCCCTGGTGACCCTCTGTAGCCTAGTCTCTAGCCTAGCACCTAGCCTCCAGCCGCCTCTAGCCTAGCCTCCAGCATGGAGTCCCGCCGCCTTCGTTTCGATGCGGAGGGCCGCCCGATCGGGTTCATTACCTGGCAGCGCCAGGCCACGCGCTACCTCACCAGTCAGCGTCAGGACGGCGCCACCCTGTGGGCCCATGCTTCTGGTGCCCTCAAGGCGCCCCTGCCTCCCGACCCCCTCCCGATCGACCCGGATCCGACTCCTGCGGCGCAGGCGGACTACGACCGTCGTGTCTTGGCGAGGGACGTGTATGACTCTCGCGACGCTGCCACTGCTCTTGCGCTGACGGAGCTCCTCCCACCGCCTGAGGCCGTCCAATTTGCCAGGTGGATACTGCGCAGGGGATTTGGGATGCTGTTGTTGCACGCTATTCCACCCCTTCCTCTGCCTCCCTCAGTCGCCTCCTCATGCCGTTCGTGTTTCCCGACCTTGGCTCGTTTGCGACTGTGTCCGACCTCGTGACTCACCAGCGTTCACTTGACGCCGGTTTCCGTGCGGCCTACACCGATGCCCAGCTTCTTGTTGCTCCCCCCCCCATGTGGCTCACTGTGCACTGGTTAGTCACACGCCTCCCTGACCGCCTCGCTACTGCTCACGACGTTCTTCTCCCGAAGCACCCCACTGAGCTTACTATCGATCTCCTTGAGACCGCTCTCGGGAAAATCGAGAGTAACCTCCTCTCCGTTGCCTCCGCCACTGACGCAGTGCCCCCCCGTCTTTTTGCGGGGTGTGCCGCCCCTCAGCTTCCCACTTTCACTGCTACCCGCGCTTCTGCTACTGTGTCGGTTGTTGAGGACACTGCTGCCATCTCTGGCAGAAACGGGGCAAAAGTGGCAAGAAGGGCGGGAAGGGAGGTGGAGGATGCGGAGATTTACTCCACAACGGTAGTGAGCTAGACTACGGGGGTTGGCACGAAATAGGAGTGATCGTAGCTTTGCCTAGTTCCTTAGTGCTTGCACAATCACGGGAGAAATCGGCAAGAGTTTCCACTAGCAAAGTTGGAATTTCAGAATTGTTGAACAAGCAATGACAACAATGACCACACCAGGCACCTAGCAACTCTGCAGTCAGCCTGGTCGACCGACAGCACAGCATGGTCGACTGCCTGCCAGCGTTGTGCAGAGGAGTCACGCCAGCACTGCAGAAAGGCAACCTGCCAACACAGCAGGTCAACGCTGTGCCAACGCTGCAGCTGAACGGCTGTCCAGCGTTGCCCCGTAGAAGGCAGCAGTGCGCACGCTCGCAGGTGCGTGCATACGATTGGCTCGACTTGCACCGTTGTGCATCCGTCGGCTGTTGTCTGTGCCTGACGAGCCACATCGACTTCGGGATACCAGCCCAAAGTCGCCTTCGCCATCGCGACCTCAACGACGTTCGCGTGCCTCCGCAGATTTCGCCGAGCAGGTTACCCGGTCGACCTGGACAACCCCAGGTGCTCTGGTCGACCACCAAGTCCCTCTGGTCGACCACCGGGTCCCACTGGTCGACGGACCCCTTCTGGTCGATGGCCCACCGGTCGCCCGGACCAGTCACCTGCAGCTGTCGAGCTCCGTGGTCGACAGCAACACCACAGCGGTCCCCTGCAGCTCGACAAAGCCTGTCGAGCAGCTCTCCCACTGTGAACGGTCGGCTGCTACTCCCGTAGATCTGACCAAGTTGTCGGCGTTTCCCAAGCGAGGGCAGGGCCAACACTCCACTCCCGTTAACAAAGGAGGTGGTGGTGGTGGCGGTGGAGCTGGGAGCGGTGGTGGTGGCGGAGGCGGCGGTGGTGCCCCAGGAGGAGGGAGCATTGGAGGAGGTGCAGGACAAACAGGCCCGCCTACTGGCGGTGTTCAGACCGGCGGGGGTGTCGGACCTCAGCAGCAGCAGCCACAGCAGCACCATCCACAGCAGAGACAGCAGCACCAGCAGGGACAGCAGCAGCAGCAGGCGCCGCAGCAGTTCCAGCCTTGGGGGCCCCCACTGCAGTGGGGTCCGCAGCAGCACTGGGGCCCCCCGCCGTAGTGGGGTCCGGGAGGACCAGGGAGCTCCGGCCGCAGCAGCAGTAGTTCCAGCTGGGCCCCTCGCCCCCCTCGCCGTGACACCGGCCCCTGTGACCACTGGTGCCTCACCGGACCGGGCAGCCCCTGTGTCTGCGGCCGCGACGACCACGTCACCTCAGGTCGCTGCGTCCCCCCAGGTTCATGCGCCTCCGCCTGTTGTCGAGTCCAGTCAGGTAGCTGCGTCCCCTCCGGTTGTCGCGTCTGGTCAGGTTGCTGCGTCTTGCTCGTGTCGGTCTTTCACCCATCGGACCGTCCTGTGGCACCACCGTCTTGGCCACCCGTCGATCCCCCACCTCCGCACTATGGCTAGTCAGCGTCTTGTATCAGGTCTCCCACGCGTCTTCCCGTCGCTCCCTCCCTCGCCTGCACCCCCGTGCACTCCTTGCGTCGCCGGCCATCTTCGTGCCACTCCGCACTCCTCTCTTCATCCGGCCACTGCTCCCTTCCAGACACTCCACTTGGATGTATGGGGTCCTGCACCTACGCAGGGACCTGAGAGGTAGCGCTACTTTCTGGTGGTCGTCGACGAATTCTCCAGGTACACCACGGTGTTTCCTCTCGCGAAGAAGTCCGAGGTGACTTCTACGCTGATCCGATGGCTTCTAGCCACTGAGGGCACTCGTGGCCATCGTGTCTCCTGTCTCCACTCTGACCGTGGGGGTGAGTTACGCTCAGGCATTCTTGCCGGATTCTGCGGCGAGCAGGGCATCGTACAGTCCTGGGCGCTGCCGGAGTCCCCACAGCAGAATGGGGTTGCTGAGCGCCGCATTGGCTTGGTCATGGACATCGCCCGCACGTTCATGATTCATGCCCGAGCGCCCCATTTTCTGTGGCCCTACGCGGTTCGCTACGCCGCTCACCAGCTGAACCTCCAGCCTCGCGTCTCGCGGCCAGAGGCTTCACCGACCAGTCTTTGGACCGGGTCCCCTGGTGTTGGGTCAGCCTTTCGTGTTTGGGGCTGCCTTGCACTTGTCCGCGAAACCTCTGCAGACAAGCTCTCGGCTCGCGCTGTCCCCTGTGTCTTCCTTGGTTTCTCGGTAGCCTCGGCCGACTGGTCCTTTTACCACCCGCCCCTCCACCAGTTCCTAGACTCCCGTGACGTTCGGTTCGACGAGTCAGTGTCCTACTACACCCGGTACCCCTGTAGAGGTCTCCCGGTTCCCCCTCCCCCTCTTTTCCTCGCACCCTCTCTTCCCTCTGCTCCCGCTCCTCCGGTACCCCCACCCCCCCCTGGTCCTGCCCCGTCAGGTGTGTCTCACGCTACCCCTCTACCCTCGGTCGCGCGTCAGGTAGCGTCTCCCTCCCCGCAGTCCTCCTCACAGTCCCCTCAGCAGCCTTCGGCACTTCCGTGACAGATTACTGTGGACTCGGTTGGTGTTGGAGCTGGAGGTGCAGCCACTGGCGGTACTCGGTCTGGGGGTGCTCATTCGAGGGGTGCTGGAGCTGGAGGTGCTGGCACTAGGGGTGCTAGTTCTGGGGGTGCTGGAGCTGGAGGTGCTGGCACAGGAGGTGCTAGTTCTGGGGGTGTTGGAGTTGGAGGTCCTGGCACTGGGGGTGCCAGGACAGAGGGTGCTGAAGCTGGGGACCCTGACCCTGTTGGTACCCCTTCTGGGGACACTGGTTATAGGGGTGCTAGTTTTGAGGCGATTGGAGCTGGGGGAACTACGTCTGCGGAGAGTACTCTGCCTCCCCACCGCCACGACAGGCGTTACCAGGCGGCCTGCCAGCGTGCGCGCGAGGAGCAGGAGCGGTTGGAGCGAGAGCGGCAGGAGTTGCGGCAGTTGGACCTGCTGGAGCAGCAGCAGCAGCGGCAGCACCACCAGCAGCAGCAGCAGCAGCAGCAGCGGCAGCTGCAGCAACAGCCGCGCAGCCACAGCAGCAGTAGCAGCAGCAGCAGCCGCCACCGCCACCGCAGCCGCAGCAGCTCCCTCTGGAGCGGCAGTTGTTCCCGCCCGTGAGTGGCCTCCGGTTCCTTGGTCTTCCCTCCTCTCCTCCTGTCCGCCCTGCGTCTCCTCCTGCGTTTGGTCCTACGTTTTCTCCTCTTGACGCCCGTCTGGCAGTCTGGTCTTCTCCTCCACCGCAGTCTCCTCCTCCTGTTGTCCGACACTACCGTTCCCGTCCTTGTCCTCCGAGTGCTCGTCCCTCATCCCCCGTTAGTGACCTCCACACTGCCCTCCTTTGTACCTCTCTTCGTCGTCCTCCTCCGGTATCAGTTCTCTCGTCTCCTCCTCCGTCTTCTCTTCTTGTCTCCCCTACTCCTATCTCTAACTACTATCGTGCTGTTCGCCCTATTGTCTCCCGCGTTCTAGCCACTGGTGTCATTGACCCTCGTTTCTCTCCGTCGTCTGTCTCGACTCTCACTGCCGCTGTCGCTAATTTTGCTGTCGCCAGCCGTCTTGACTACAGCACTCATGTGGTGCCCGCTCCGCCTACCCGTCCTCTGTCCGTCGGGGGTGAGTTTGCCCTTGGCTGTGACGTCTTAGAGGACAGGCACTATGAGGTGGAGTACCTGGCAGCCGCTTCTCCCACTCTCTGTGCCATGCTGCTTTCCCCTGAGGAAGACCCCGACGCCCTTGACATACCGACTCCTCGCACGTACCGTGAGGCAATGTCAGGGCCGTGGGCCTCTCAGTGGAAGGCAGCCATGGACTCAGAGTTGGCGTCTTGGAGATCCACAGGCACGTACGACGACGCAGTTCCCCTTCTCCGGGCGAACGTAGTCGATGGCATGTGGCTCTTCAAGGTGAAGCGGCCGCCTGGATCACCCCCGGTGTTCAAGGCGCAGTATGTGGCGAGAGGCTTCAGTTAGCGCGAGGGAGTTGACTTCTTTCAGACCTTCGCTCCGACCCCGAAGATGACTACACTTCGGGTGTTACTACACGTAGCAGCACAGCGAGACTACGAGCTCCACTCCCTCGACTTCTCCACTGCTTTTCTCCAAGGACGACTGCACGAGGAGATCTGGCTGCGCCGTCCTCCTGATTTCACTGGTAATTTCCCTACTGGGACCCACTGGAGCCTGAGGCGATCAATCTACGGTCTCCGCCAGTTGCCCCATGAGTGGCACGACACTCTTCGCTCCACGCTTCGTGACCTAGGGTTTCGCCCTTCCTCTGCTGACCCGTCACTGTTTGTTCGTGACGGCTCCACTTCTTTCTTTATACTCGTCTACGTCGACGACTTGGTCTTTGCTACACCAGACAGGGCAGCTCTGGCTGAGGTGAAGTCCGAACTGCAGAAGAGACACATGTGTACTGACCTTGGTGAACTGCAGCGCTACCTTGGCCTGCATATCAGCAGGGACAGAGCCGCTCGCACCATCACGTTGACTCAGTCACACATGGTGCAGCATGTCCTTCAGCCGGAATTTGTGTGGTGTCCGTGAGATCCACCCTGAGCTTGCTTTGCTTCTTGCATTGACTTGTCTTGTGATTGTTTGTTCACCCTGCTTGCTTTGATGCCCCTCACTTAGCCTATGGGGATGTGTCAAATGTTGATATTTGTGATAGGCTGTAGTGAGGTGCTCTTTAGTGAGTACAACTCAGTTAGGGTTTGTTATTTGTATCACCCACATTCCTAATCTCATCATTCCGTTGCATTCCTACTTTGAGAGGATGCCCTTTCACCCCACAGCGCAAAGAATGACGATGTATTTCAACATAGAATCTTCGGTCCGAAACGTTTTCCGCTGGTTGCCTCCTTTTCCTTCAACCTCAAGTAAAATGGTTACATTAACACAAATTAACTTATAGAGTAGGCAGAACTCTAGGGACAAGCATACTACAGCTTTGAGTACCCTTCTAAGCTTGAGAGCAAGCACTACACAAAAAGGTAGCAGTGGGGGAAAGGGAACAAGGCAAACAAAAGTCTCCAGGGCCAAAAGGGAGGTATGGATGGAGAAAGGAGAGGAAGAACATAAACTGTAACTGAGTGGAGAGGGAGTGAGGAATGTAGGAATCTCAAGGAAGCCAGAGTGGTGGGGGGAAGTTAATTACATGCCCCCCAAGGTTAGAAAAAAACCAAAATGACAGCTAAGAAAGGAATCCAACAGCACAGAGCACTGGATCAGCTTCTTTCCAGCCACTACGACTGAGGCTGTTGCTGCTGCTCCTGCTTCTGCTGCGGCTGCTTCACTTCCTGCCACAGAACAACCACAACACACCATTCTACACAACACAACACCACACCTCACCTCAGTCAACCACTCAACCAAGCATCCTTCAAAAGACTCTCTCAATAAATTATCCCTCAATCCCCCCTCAGTTCACCCCCCCCTCAGTTCACCCCCCCCCTCAGTTCACCCCCCCCTCAGTTCACCCCCCCCTCAGTTCACCCCCCCCTCAGTTCACCCCCCCCTCAGTTCACCCCCCCCTCTCCATTCTCCCCCCCGTCAATACACCCACCCCTTCAGTACAATCCCCCTCAATACACCATCACCCCCAAGAGCACATCCCTAGCCGCAGCCAGCACCTCACTAGTCACGGACCACAGCCGAACCTTCCTCAGCCTCGGCAGCCCCCGAACCTGCCTCAGCCCGAGCGGGGTCACGTTCGGGCCACTCAGGTGCAGCTCCTCCAGCCAATCGTACCCCGCCAGCTGGCACAACCCCTCGTCAGACACACCCGACCAGGAGAGATTGAGGGAAGTGAGGGAGGAGGCTAGGGGGCGGAGATGAGCCAAGCCTAGGTTTCCCACGGGGCATTGGGAGAGATCGAGGCGACGAAGGGTTCGGATCTGCCCGATGTGTTCCATGCCTGAGGAGGTTAGGTTCGGGCACCGCCACATCCGAAGCTCCTGCAGGCCCGGGGAAGCGGCAGTGCTGGTGGTGGTGCTGCGAGTGCTGATGGTGGTACTGTCGGTGCTGCTGTCACCGCTGTTGCTAGCACCGGTGGAAGAAACAGACGAAAGGGGACCATTGCCGCTGGCGCTACCGATGCCACTGGCGCTTAGCTGAGAAAGATGCACTAGAGCAGCGTCAGTGACCGCAGAACCGGAGATATCAAGCACTCGCAGCCGACTCATCCTCCCTATAGCCTCCAAGCCTGCATCACTCAGCTTACACCCATCCAAACAGAGGTCTTCAAGCCAGGGCATGTCCTCACACACGCACAGGATGCCCTCCTCCCCCACTCGCACGCAGTTGGACAGGTCGAGCTTGCGCAGTGACGTTAGAGGGACTAGATGACGGAGAACGCCGCCCCTTGTGGCCAGAGACCCAGGCTGTCCAACCGTCCTGCTGCTGGTAGTGGTGGTGGTGCTGCTGTTGCGTTTACCGCTGCTGGTGCTGGTGTTGGTGCTGGTGCCTTTGTTGCTACCGGCGATGCTGGTGCTGCTGGTGCTACCCAGATGTGGTTGTTCCATCTGCAGGAAACCAAACCACGAGCTTCCTTGTGCAAACGCCCCTAGCTGCTCCATTATCGTGCTCTTACCCGCCTCCTCCCCTCCCTCCTCCCCTCCCTCCTTCCCTCCTTTCCTCGCCTTCCCCTTATCTTCCACCCCAAGCTGCTCACACCCACTAAGAACCAACTCGTTAAGAGAAGAAGACAGGGCTTTAAGAGACACCAGACCCTCGCCTGTGATTCGAGTGAAGCTCAGGTCAAGGGCTTGGAGGCGGGAGAGGTGTGCAATGTGGTGCAGAGCGGTGTCGGTGAGTCGGGAGCAGCCCACTAGATGCAGGCGGAGGAGGGAGCGAGAGGCAGGGGCAGGGGGAGGGGGGCGTGGGACGAACGGAGAGGAAGGCTCCGCAGAAGGTTTTGCGGAAGGTGATGATGACGATGGGTTGGGAGGAGTGAGGGGTACAGGGGGGGCACTGGTGTGCGTTGATGATGCGCCTTGCTGCTCCACGCCCTGCTTCTCTGCAGCACTTGGTTTCTCTGAGACACTCTGTTCTTCTACTGTACTCTGCCTCTCTTCAACAGTCTGCTGCTGGTCAGTACCAGCAGCAGGCACTGCAGCAGCAGGTTCAGTAGCAGCAGCAGCTTCGGTACCCAAATCAGCTGCTGCAGCGGCGGTAGCAGGCTCAGAATCTGAAGCCGGCTTGTCAGTCTCAGGGGGTTCTGAGCCCGCAGTTTCGGTGGCCGCTGCAGCAGCTGACCCGTCACCAGAAGAAGGTTCCTCAGAGCCAGCAGAAGCTTCAGTTGATACAGCAGCAGCTTCCTCAGAGCTAGCAGAAGCTTCCTTGGAGCCAGAGGCTTTGTTACCATCAGCGCCAGTGGTACTGGAACTGGGATCAGACGCTGCAGCAACATCGGCAGCAGCAGCTGCATCCACTGAAGCAGTGGCGCTGGCAGCAGTCCCGGCAGTGGCAGCAGGTGCAATAACGCCCGAAGCAGCAACAGTTGCAGTACCACCAGCAGCAGCTGCAGCATCATCGTCATCACTGTCTTCCCCAACAAAACGTGCCAGCGCATCACGAGCAATAGACCCTGGAGACCTCGTCCTAGGGATTCGCCCTGCCGGCGCTGCTGCTGCTGCCACCACTGCTGCACCTGCTGCTGCTGTTGTGACTGATGCTGTTGCTACAGCTGGGCTAGCAGCAGCAGCAGCAGCAGTACCCTTACCCTCTGCTGAAGAAGCTGCTGCTTCTGCCCTTCCAGCAACTGCTCCCAGAGCAGCAGCAGACGCCGCTGCTGCCGCCTCTGCTTCAGCCTCCGCTGCTGCTCTAGCCAGCACCACCCGCGCCCTCTCCTTACCAACAGTCAGAGCCTCAGACACAACCAGGCACGCAATCCCCTCATTAGTCACCCTTGTATGCGACACATCCAGGCTCTTCAACCCCCCCATCTGTCCAATCTTCTCCATACCCCTGTCATTCAGCGCCGTCCCCGAAAGCCCTAGCTCCTCTAGCCAGCTCATCTCGCGACACACCCTCTCCAGCCCTCTCTCTCCAATCCCCAGACACACACCGAGGTCTAATTTCCTTAGCCGTTTCAGCTTCACGATCCACTGTACACTCACATCGGTTACCAGGTTACACTCGCTGAGATCCAACTCCCTCAGCATCACCAGCGGCTCGAGACACCTCAGCCCCGCATCCCCTACAGGAGTATAGCTCAGGTCAAGCGAGTCAACCGAAGTCAATCGGCCGATCTGTAACACCCCCTCCGTGGTAACCCCAGTGCATCCCCGAAGGTGGAGGCCAGACAAGCCGGGGAGAGCCGTGGCGTGGCGGAGGGAGGAGCCAGTGAGGGACTTGCAGGATGAGTCGGAGGAGCCAAAGCGGAGGGAGGAGATGGAGGAGAGAATGGGAGGGGGAAGGAGCTGGGCTAGGAGGAGGAATTGCTCAAAGTCTTTGTCTGTGGTGTTGGGGAGGCGGGTGAAGTCTACAGTGTGCTTGATGGAGGTGTGAGGGAGGGTGATGCTGCTGCTGGTGCTGCTGCTGGTGCCGCTGCTGCTGGTGGTGGTGCTTGTGCTGCCAGTGCTGCTGCTGGTGCTGCTCGGGGCTGTGGTTGATGCTGTGTTTGGAACTGCTACAGTGGTTGACGCTTCTCCATCCTTAGAGGTTGCCTCGTCATCATGAGCCAATTTGGAACCCTCACTCTGCTTCTCCTCTCCTGCCTTCCCACCTGCTTCTCCAGCTCCTCCTCCTGCTGCTCCTGCTCCTCCTACCCCTGCCATTTTTCCACTCACACTTCCTGTGGCTGTGTTGATTCTTGCACCTGTGCCTGCTCCTCCCGTTGTTGCTACTCCTGTTGCACTCCCACCAGCACTCTTCATGCCCTCCCACTTCTTTCGCAGTTCCTGCACTGCCAATGCGCGCTCCTCCTCCGGCTGCTGCTGCTGCTGCCACCCTTCCTGCTGAGGCACCACCAAGGCACTCTCTTGCTGTTGCTGCCCTTCCCTCTCACCTTCGCTCTCCACCCTCTCCCTGCACACCCTTTCCAGATCGGCCAATTGCCTCGCGTGCTGCCTCTGCGTCAGCTCAAGAGTTGCAGCAGCATTTGCTTTCTCCCTGCACATTCTCTCCAGTACAGCCAACTGCCTGGCGTGCTGCTCCTGCTGCTGCTGCTGCTGCCGCTGCTCCTGATGCTGCTGCCTCTCCCTCTCACCTTCACTCTCCGCCCTCTCTCTGCACATCCTTTCCAAATCGGCCAACTGCCTCGCATGCTGCCGCTGCGTCAGCTCAAGAGTTGCAGCAGCGTTTGCCTTCTCCCGACAGATTCTTTCAAGCACAGCAAGCTGCCTCGCGTGCTGCTCCTGGGCCAGCTCAAGAGCCGCAGCAGCCTCTGCTTTCTCCCTGCACACCCTCTCCAGCACGGCTAGCTGCTGGGCATGCTGCTTCTCAGTCAACTCCAGAGCATCCATCCTCCCCATACACTCCCTGCTCTCTTCACAAGCACAAACTGACACCTGTGTTGACTCAGAAACAACAGCAGCAGCAATGTCCGCCTCCTCTCCACAAGCACTAGCAGACACCAGCGGTGTCGACTCAAGAGCACCCACTCTCTCCTTGTGCTCCCTACTCTCCGCACAACCCCTAGCTGACACCTCCGTAGACTCAAGAACCGCAGCAGCATCTGTCATCACCTTACACGCCCTCTCCAACAAAGCCACTTGCCTCGCGTGCTCCTCTGGAGTCGACTCAACAGTCACAGCAGCACTTGCTTTCTCCTGACACGCCCTCTCTTCACAACCCCTAGCTGGCACCTCAGTGGACTCAAGAACAGCAGCAGCATCTGTCATCACCTTGCACGCTTTTTCCATCAAAGCCACTTGCCTCGCTTGCCCCTCTGGAGTCGACTCAACAGTCACAGCAGCAGCACCGGCCTTTTCTTTCTCTTTCTCTCGGCACGCCCTTTCAAGCAGAGCCAGCTGCCTGGCGTTCTCGTGGAGGGACCGCTGCAGCTGCAGCAGCTGTGCCTGCTGCTCCTGGGCCTGGGCACGTAGCAGCTCCACTTGGGCTGATAAGTCCTGAGGCGTTTCAAGAATGCCCTGCTGCTGCGGTTCTTGAGGCACTTCTTGCTCCTGGGCCTGGGCACATGGGAGCTCCACTTGGGATGATAAGTCTTGAGGCGTTTCAAGAACGCTCTGCGGCGGCAACTCTTGCTGAGTTGAGTCCAAAGGCTCTTGCTGAGTCGACTTGCAAGGCTCTTGCTGCTCCTGGGCCTGCATACGCAGCAGCTCCACTTGGGCTGATAAGTCCTGAGGCGTTTCAAGAACGCTCTGCTGCTGCAGCTCTTGGGTTGACTTGGAAGGCTCTTGAGTTGACTCCGAAGGTTCTTGAGGAGACTTAGACGGCTCTTGCTCCTCCTGGGACTTTGAGCTTAGCAACTCCACCTTGCTTGGTACGGCTTGCGGGGTTTCAAGAACGCTCTGCTGCTGCAGGCCTTGAGGCGACTCAGAAGGCTCTTGCTCCTCCTGGGACTTTGTGCGTAGCAACTCCACCTTGCTTGCTATGGATGCAGCTAGGCAAGCTGCTGCTGCTGCTGCTGCTGCTGAAGATGCTGCTGCCGCGGATGGTGATGTTGCTGCTGCTGCACATGGTGATGATGGTGGTGATGATGGCGATGACAAGGCTACAGATGCGGCTACAGCTGGGGCTGCAGACGGGGCTGCAGACAGGGCTGCTTCTGCTGCTCCTGCTTCAGCTGCTGCTGCATCTGCTTGTGCTGCTGCTGCTGCTTTTGCTCCTGCTGCTCCTACTTCTGCTGTTGTTGCTGCTTCTGCTTCTGTGGCTCCTGCTTCTGTTGCTGATGCTGCTTCTGTTGCCGCTGTTGCTCCTGCTGCTCCTGCTTCTTCAGCAGTTGTTTCCCCTGCCGCTTCTGCTTCTGCTTCTGCTGCTGCTGTTGCTCCTGCTGCTCCTGCTTCTGCTTCTGCTGTCGCTGTTGCTCCTGCTTCTGCTTCTGCAGGAGTTGTTTCCCCTGCCGCTTCTGCTTCTGGTGCTGCTGTTTCTCCTGCTACTTCTACTTCGGCTGCTGTTGCTCCTGCTGTGCCTGCTTCTGCTGCTGATGTTACTCCTGCTGCTCCTGCTTCTGCATCTGCTGCTGGCGATGCTTCAGTCGAATCTGAACTCTCCTGCTCCTGGGTAGACACTAGAGGGGATGCAGGCGCTGCTGCTGCTGCTGCTCCGTCCGCTTCTGTAGCTTCTGTTGCTCCTGTTGCTTCTGCTGCTGCTGCTGCTGCTGCTGGCGATGGCGATTCTTGAGTTGACCCTAACGTCTCCTGCTCCTGAGTAGGCGCTAGAGGGGATGCAGGCGCTGCTGCTGCTGCTGCTCCCGCCGCTTCTGTAGCTTCTGTTGCTCCTGTTGCTTCTGCTGCTGCTGCTGCTGCTGCTGCTGCTGCTGCTGCTGCTGCTGCTGCTGGCGATGGCGATTCTTGAGTTGACCCTAACGTCTCCTGCTCCTGAGTAGGCGCTAGAGGGGATGAAGGCGCTGCTGCTGCTCCCGCCGCTTCTGTAGCTTCTGTTGCTCCTGTTGCTTCTGCTGCTGCTGCTGCTGCTGCTGCTGCTGGCGATGGCGATTCTTGAGTTGACCCTAACGTCTCCTGCTCCTGAGTAGGCGCTAGAGGGGATGCAGGCGCTGCTGCTGCTGCTGCTCCCGCCGCTTCTGTAGCTTCTGTTGCTCCTGTTGCTTCTGCTGCTGCTGCTGCTGCTGCTGCTGCTGGCGATGGCGATTCTTGAGTTGACCCTAACGTCTCCTGCTCCTGAGTAGGCGCTAGAGGGGATGCAGGCGCTGCTGCTGCTGCTGCTCCCGCCGCTTCTGTAGCTTCTGTTGCTCCTGTTGCTTCTGCTGCTGCTGCTGCTGCTGCTGCTGGCGATGGCGATTCTTGAGTTGACCCTAACGTCTCCTGCTCCTGAGTAGGCGCTAGAGGGGATGCAGGCGCTGCTGCTGCTGCTGCTCCCGCCGCTTCTGTAGCTTCTGTTGCTCCTGTTGCTTCTGCTGCTGCTGCTGCTGCTGCTGCTGGCGATTCTTGAGTTGACCCTAACGTCTCCTGCTCCTGAGTAGGCGCTAGAGGGGATGCAGGGGTTGCTGCTGCTGCTGCAGCTGCTGCTCCTGCCGCTCCTAATTCGGCTGCTGCTGTTGCTCCTGTTGCTTCTTCCTCTACTGCTGCTTCTGCTGCTGCTCCTGCTGCTGATGGCAACTCCTGAGTCGCAGCTGAACTCTCCTGCTCCTGGGTAGGTGCTAGAGGGGATGCAGGCGCTGCTGCTGCGGCTGCTGCTGCCCCGGCTGCCGATGATGACTCTAGAGGCAATGCAGAATCCACTACATCTCCGGGGATAGGGCACAGGAGGTCCATCTGGCTTGCTGCTGCTGCTTGTATTGCTGCGGCTGCTGCTGCTTCTGTTGCTGCGGCTGCTGCTGCTTCTGTTGCTGCGGCTGCTGCTGCTTCGGTTGCTGCAGCTGCTGCTGCTTCCGTTGCTGCAGCTGCTGCTGCTTCTATTGCTGCGGCTGCTGCTGCTTCCGTTGCTGCGGCTGCTGCTGCTTCCGTTGCTGTGGCTGCTGCTGCTTCTATTGCTGCGGCTGCTGCTGCTTCCGTTGCTGCGGCTGCTGCTGCTTCCGTTGCTGCGGCTGCTGCTGCTTCTATTGCTGCGGCGGCTGCTGCTTCTGTTGCTGCGGCTGAAGCTGCTTCTGTTGCGGCGGCTGCGGCTGCTGCTGATGCTGACTTCAGAGGCAATTCAAATTTCACCACATTCCGGGGCGTAGGGCACATGAGGTCCATCTGGCTTGCTACCGCTGCCACTGCTGCTGCTGATGGCGACTCTAAATGTAACTCATAATCCCTTCCATCCCCGGGTGTAGGGCACAGGAGATCCATCTGGCTTGCAGCAAAAGTCACAGAAGGGACAGGAGTTACAGACACCGATGCAGCTGCTGCTGCTACAGACGTTGCTGTCGGTTTTGGTGATGGCAGTGGTGGTGGTGCTGCTACGAACACTTCTGCTGGTGTTGTTGCTGCTGCTTGTACAGACACTGATGGTGGTGTTGCTGCTGCTTCTACAAACACTGGTGGTGATGTTGTTGCTGATGCCTCTGCTGTTAGTGCAGATGGTTCGACTGGTGCCTCTGCAACAGATGGTTCAACTGGTGCCTCTGCAACAGATGGTTCGACTGGTGCCTCTGCAACAGATGGTTCGACTGGTGCCTCTGCAACAGATGGTTCGACTGGTGCCTCTGCAACAGATGGTTCGACTGGTGCCTCTGCTGCTGGTGCAGATGATTCAACTTCCGCCGCTGCTGCTGGTGCTGATAATTCAGCTTCTGCCTCTGCTGTCGAGGCAGGTGATGCTGTTGCTGCAGACTCTGCTGCCGTTGGTGCTGGTTCCGCTGTCACTGCTGGTGCTGGTGGTGTTTCTGATGCTGCTTCCGCTGCTGCTTCTGTTGTTGAATCTGCCTCTGCTGCCTCCGCATCTTCCCCTGCGGCTTCTGCTGCAGCTATGGAAGACACAAAGGGAGCCTCCCCTTCCACCGAAGCCCCCACCTTCTCCGCTTCCTCCACCGTCGCCTGTGTTGAAGAAACTCGTTCTGCTGCTGCTGCCTCTGCTTCTGCCCCTGCTGCTGCTGCTGCCTCTGCTTCTGCCCCTGCTGCTGCTGCTGCCTCTGCTTCTGACCCTGCTGCTGCCTCTGCTTCTGCCCCTGCTGCTGCTGCTGCCTCTGCTTCTGACCCTGCTGCTGCTGCTGCTGCCTCTGCTTCTGCCCCTGCTGCTGCCTCTGCTTTTGCCACTGCTGCTTCTGCTGCCTCTGCTTCTGCCCCTGCTGCTGCTGCTGCTGCTGCCTCTGCTTCTGACCCTGCTGCTGCTGCTGCTGCTGCCTCTGCTTCTGACCCTGCTGCTTCTGCTGCTGCCTCTGCTTCTGCCCCTGCTGCTGCCTCTGCTTTTGCCACTGCTGCTTCTGCTGCCTCTGCTTCTGCCCCTGCTGCTGCTGCTGCTGCTGCTGCTGCTGCTGCCTCTGCTTCTGCCCCTGCTGCTGCTGCTGCTGCTGCGTCTGCTTCTTCTGCCCCCGCTGCTGCTGCTCCTGCTGCCACGTTTGCTTCTGGCACTGCTGCTGCCTCTGCTGCCATATCTGCTTCTGCCACTGCTGCGGTTTCTGCCACTGCTGCAGCTACGGCTGTAACACAGCGACCCTCCCCTTCCACCAGCCCTCCAACCTTCGCCCCCACCTCCTTCATCATCGCATCAACACGAGCATTCCACTCCGCCTGCTGCTCCAAAACCCCCTCAATCCGCGCTTTCAGTGCCACTAGCACATCTATCTCCGCGTTTCTCCTCGCCTGCTGCTCCAAAACCCCCTCAATCCTCGCTTTCCACCCCACTAGCGCTTCTATCTCCACGTTTCTCCCAACCTGCTGCTCCAACACCCCCCGCACTCGCGCAGCCAGCGCCGCCATCACCTCTTGGACCTGCTTCAGCATACTGTCGAAATCTGCTGCCCGTACCGCCAGCTGTCCCACCCGCTGGACGCCAAACTCTGCTATCCGCTGCATCCCCTGCACGCGCCTCTCAAACCTTACCTCTTGCTCTGCCAGCTGCTGCTGCACCCACCCTCTCTCCGCCACTGCTGCTGCTGCTGCCGCTGCCACTTCTCCTGCCTCCGCCCCTGCCCCTTCCCCTTCAGTTGCCCCTTCCTCTTTTCCAGCCGTTGTCCCTAACACTGCCCCTACCGCTGCCCCCCTCTCCGCCCCTGCACTAGCCCCTGCTGCTGCTGCTGCTGCTGCTGCTGCTCCCGCTGCGCCTGCTGCTGCTTTCACAGCTGCAAGAATCGCAGCGCCCTCTTCAGCCTGCTTATGCGCCTTCTCCAGGGCAACACTCGCCATTTGTTGCAAAGCCTCCATACGCCACCGCACCTTCACTTCCTGCTCGGCCAGCTGCTGCTGCACCCACCCTCTGTCTGCCACAATCGCAGCTGCTGCCTCTGCCGCTGCTGTGATCGTCTTAGGGCCTCCAGGGGAGGTGAGAACGCTCGCCCCTACGGACGCAGCACGGGGGAACGCAGCGTGGGTGACTGCAACTGCGGCTGACGCTGCTGACGCGGCTGATGCTGCTGCTGACGTGGTCTGCGCCTGCTTCAGCTCCAGCGCAGAGATTTTATCCGCCAGCTGTTGGATCGTGGATGCCACGTCAGCGGCTGCCACGTCAGCCTTGTGCTGCTGCTCTTCTAGAAGCTTCTGCAGGTGCTCCAACTTCTTGGAAGGTTCGTTCAAAGCTGCTGCCGCTACTTCCGGCTGCTGCTGCTGCTGCTGCACCACACCAGCCGCTGCCAGCTCAGCTGCAATCAAAGATCTGATCTCCTCAGATTTGATTCCGCTCATCTGGTCTTTTCCACCCTTGGCAATTTCTGCTGCCACGTGGGCCACTTCTCGACCAATCAGCACCACCTCCTCTAGACACTGAACCTCCTCTTTCCTTCCTTCTTGCTCCTTAACACCCGCAGCAATCGCTGCTCCCACACTCGCCACCTCCCGACCAATCAAAACGACCTGCTCCAGCAGTCCACTCCCCTCCTCCGCCCCCTCGCTTCCTGTGCCGGATTTGGCAAATTTGACCGATTTGGAAAGTTCGGCTGCTACTTTTGCAACCACTCTGCCAACTGCAATCACCGCCTCAATCTGCTGCTGCTGCTGCTGCTGATGGGAAGGAGTTGCTGTTGCTGCAACCTCCTTGCTAGTCTTGTTGCTGATCTCCTTGCTGATTTCCAACACCACTCTCCCCACCTCCGCAGCCTGCTGTCCCACAGCGTCTATCTCTTCCCTCAGCTCCCTCACACTCTCCTCCACACTCCTCTCCAGCCTCCCCACTCGCTCCTCCACACTCGCTTCTGCTCCTTTCACCCCCTCCTCTATACCCTTCTCTGCTTCTCCCACCTTCTCCATACACTCCTCTATCTTCCTCGCCCTCTCTCCCAAACCTCCCTCGATCTTTCTCACTCGCTCCTCCACACTCTCCTCTACCTTCTTCAACCTCTCTTTCAATTTCCCCTCAATCTCTTTCACTCGTTCCTCAACACTACCCGCCACCTCTCCCACTCTCTCCTGTACACCCTTCTCTTCAAGTTTCTCCACCTCCTTAACCACCTCCTCTAAGTTCCTCACTCCCACCATCACACTCTCCTCTACCCTCTTTGCTCTCTCCTCCATACCCTCTTCTAATTTCACCACCTTCTCTCCCACACTCTCCTCTAGCTTCCTCACTCTCTCCCCCACACTCTCCTCTATTTTCTTCACACTCTCCTCTACCTTACCCACTATCTCCCCCATACTCTCCTCCACCTTTCTCACTCTCTCCCCCACACTCTCCTCAACCCTCCTCACTGTCCTCTCAGCCTCCTCCATTAACCTCTCCTGCCCCTCCACCTGCTCCCGCACCCGCCTATCCACCGCTTCAATCACAATCTTATTACACTTCACCCCCGTTTCAATCCTCGCAACCATCCCAGGTACATCCGCACCCATCCAAAGCTCTTCCAACTGCTCCACCTTCTGCTGACTGCCCTCAATCCTCCCGTCTAGCTCCTGTTTCAGCCCATCCACCTTCTCGTTAACGATCTTCTCTACCCGATCCACCTCCAACCCAGCCTCTACCCGCATTTCCGACACCTTCTGCAGAATCCGGCTCTCCATGTCCTGCTCACCGCTCTCCACCCCGTCCAGCCGCTCCTCCAGCCTTTTCACCCTCCCGCCCAGACCCGCAGCTCTCCACTCCTCGCGAATCTCCTCCATAGGACCAATTAAAGCCTCGTTCGCCTGTGCCTGCTGCACGCGCCACTCCTCGCGCATCTGCTCCATCTGCTTCCTCACCGCTTCCTTCTCTGCTCTCAGCGCTTCGTTCGCTTGCGCCTGCTGCGCTTGCCATTGCTCTCTCATCTCCTCCATCTCTCTCCTCACCCTAGCCATTTCCTCTAGCTGCTGCGCCTGCTGCTGCGCCCGTGTCTCCTCGAGTTTCCTCGCCCACTGGTCCTGCACGGCTTTAATCTCCTCTTCCAGCTGTTGCCTGTGCGCCGCCTCCTTTATAAGCAGATTCACCATCCGGTCCAGCTCAGCTTCCCGCTTCCTCCCCTCGCCGCTCACCGCTCGCTCCATCTCCTCCCTCAGATCGCAGATCTTCCGCTCAGAATCGATTTCCAGCCGTTGGATTCCTCCTTCCAGCCGTGCCTCTTCCTTCTCCAAGAGTTGAAGCAGCGTTCCTTTAAGAGCATCCCCCAGGCCAGGCCCCGAGCAAGAGCGACCCGGCAGTTTACCTGGTAACCAGTTTTCGCCAGTGGCGGATACAGCCGCCGCATCCCCCAGGTGCTCCGCTTCCGCAATCAGAGTTCGTTCGACTTCGCCTGCTTCGCTCGCCCCGTCAACCACACCCACAGCCGTCGAGGCGCTCACCTTATCCAATCCTTCTCCACCACTTGGCACCGTTCCTGAACCCCTCAACCCCTTACTCTCCACCTGGGAATCCACCCAATTTTCAATCGCCTCAACCGTCATTCCCCCTCCGCCAAACCTCGCTTCAATGCGACCCAAACACGCGCGAATCTCCGGCGCAAGCACTCCATTCCCGTTCAGATCCAGCAAGCCTCCTTTTGTTTGTAGAGCATCCGTCCCTTCTCCCCCTCTTTCGCCGCCTCCTCCGCCTCCTCCTTCTGCTCCTCCGCCTTCCGTCGCGAGCCCCAATAGGCCTCGCAGCATCTCTCCGTCGTCAAGAATCTTCTTCACCTCCCGATCCACGTCTAAGGCCATAGCCACGGTCACCGCCATTACGCCATGGACTTGGGAGTTAAGGATCGGGCTCTTCGGGTGGTTGTCAGTGGTAACGTGGTTACCATCGTCGATGTGGTTACCAATGTTACTGTGGTTACTCGTGGCGGAGCTCGTGCTGCCGCCGCTCCCTCCCCTGGTGGTCGTACTGGTGCTGGTGTCACTGCTGGTGTTGGAGGCAGTTGGGTTACCACCAGTAACCCTGCTTCCTTCTTGGGTGCGGTGGCCATTGTGGTGGTTGTGAGGCGAAGGGCGTAGCGCCTCTTGGTCAAGCTCAAGGAGCTTATCGGCGACCAATGACAGCTTGCCACGTAGCCTCGCGAGGAGGGCCGCTGACATGGCGCTCTGAGAGAATGAGAGAGGGAAAGAGAAGGTACGGGTAAAATAAACAACCGCAATAAGGAATTAGAGAAAGAGACAAGGCAAATGGAAACGGAAAGGGCAAGACGGCAAAAAATAGTAGAAGAAAGAGACGGAATAAAGGAAAACCTGAACGAAGCGACGAGAAGGTAATGCGAGAGCTGCAACAGTTTTAGTACAAGAAAAACACCAGAGACATAAATGCGTTTTTCCGGTTTCTCTACAGCTGGAACAGGATAAAGACATACTCTTGCTCCCTTCCAGACCATTATAGACCGTGACATTTGAATCAAGTAAGAAAGAACGGCTAACCCATATCTCGTCCCTTTTAAAATAGCGAATCAACAAGCTATAGTAAACGCATTAGCTAGTACTCAATGACTAAGGCGAGCATGAAATTTGCAGAAAACAATCATAGGAAAAAATCAATCGTTACGAAACGGAGTTGCGACATGGAGCTACGTTAAGAGCGCCAATGCTTAAGTTGACGCTGTTTTTACCGTCGTCATTAATACCTTAGCTAGGAGATAAGCCCCAGAGGTAACGATACTTCAATTTGGACAACAAGTTTCATTGGCTTCCGGGATAAACCAAAAATAAGAGGGTCCCAAACAGTGAAAGCTTGTCAGCATGACATAGGTGCTGTCATTTCGCGCCTTACTCACCGGCGACCCAGACTTAAGCAGTTGTCGTGTAGAACGGTGATATAAATTAAGGACGATCCACGCCTGCTAAGTTGATTATGACCTTCAATGGCGAATGAAACCTAGTGCTTATTTCTCCAAAATTGATTTCTTCGACCGGTTTCAGTCACACTAAACCATCATGACAATATCCATTGTACTCGATCCACTACACTAAGGACAATCCCCTTTTGTTAACTAACCGAACCACAGAGTCTGTAATCCAGTAAACAACTATCCATGGCGGACCACCTACCGTCACCTAACCACCTCAATCCTCCATGGCTGATTAGCAGTCTTTTCAGTTTTCTCTCCTTTGAACCTCCTCCGCCTTTCTATCTCGGCAATCCCAAGGTTGTTGGAGTTTGGTGTGGCTGAAATGTGGGGCCTTTTCCAAGCTTCTATGCGTTCTTATATCGAAGTCGGTTTTCCCTGAGGTTCGTGCGTGGCGTGCCTGTTGCGAATTTGCTGGAAGTACGGTCCAGATGGCAACATGGGCGCTGAGGCCGTTTCGAGGACCGAGGTGATCGAGAAGAATGATAAATGAGGGATGTTCAATTCACTGTGTACATTGAGACGAATGCAGTGTTCATATAATATGTTTTCCTGCCAAAAACGTCGTTGTCGTGCCGAATTCAATATCTCACTTGCAGCAAGGTGTTATAAATGAGAAAACAGAATTCACTCACTTACGCCGGTGTTACTCACATTGCGCGAAAACAGAAAGTGCTTCGTTCGCAAACGTCGACCTACACACCCTGTGTTCTTTCCGCAGCACAGACCTCGCCCAATGTGCCCCCTCCACGTCAGAACCCATTGTGCATGATGGTCGTCGCTCGCGCGTTACTTTCGCACGGGGTGGGCAAAGCACTCTCCTGCCTCACCTTTTCTCATGTACTTCCTTTCCGCCTCACCTTTCTCGACGGCGCAAGCCTCAGCATTTTGTTTGTGTCCAAATGGTGTGTCTCAGCAAGGTTGTGTACGTTTTAGAGCGTGAAAAAAGAACTTGGTAAGGTTATGTAGGGTATAGAGAGACTGCATGCGCATTGACGGCTCTCTGCTAGGTTCTCTTGCTCTGGTTTGTTCCAACCAGTCAGCAGTCACGCATGTCTCATGACAGTCCACAACCCACTCACCCACTTTTCCTGCCTTCCGTTCTCCGTGCATGATTGTTCATTCGCCGGATCGCGAACCGCACTTATTGACTCGTGGACAGGGAATCATGGTCCGCGGATAGAATTTATTTAGGCGCGTGTTGGTGGTGGGCGTGAATGATCAACTCGCTAAGGATCTTTCGTAACGCCAGAGCCCACGGCTTGCGTACCTGAGTACCCTTCCAGCTCTCTCCTACAATAGCTACCAGACAGCGTTACTTACCCTAAAGTTAAAACTGCTCCACATAGCACTGATAAACCCTTCTAACCTGACGTGGTTTGTTTCGTTTCGCGTGCCATCAATGGCTCGGCGGACGCCGGGACTCTCACATGTAAACCACCTTCAAAAATCCGTCCAGATTCAATGAATCTCCCGATGGCGTCGGAAGACGATCGGCAAGTCGCACAGGAGCTCGGGCTCCTCCTACGGGGCACCGGGGAGGGAAATGTGCCGTTTTCTCAGACTCGTTACGAGCAAGTGTCTATATCGGGGACGACTGGGGGGCTGGGAGACGGCTCTGCAGCGTCAGCAGGCGCATCGTTAGCAGCGCAGTATGGGATGCGAGACCAGCAGGGGGCTGGGGGGGGCGCTATGGCGGGCGGAATGGCAGGCGGAATGGCAGGCCCGGAGGGTTTTGGCGGTGCGCCTGCGGCGGGGGGATATGGCGGGCGGGACTACCCCCACAGGAGCGGTAGCGCTCCGCCGTCGGTGGAAGGGTCCATTTTTGCGATGGGTAATTTCCCCGGGTTTTCTTTCAACCGTCAATTTCTCGGCTCCGATGCCCTGGGGAATCAGCCCGGTGCCGGGGCTGACGGCGGCGGCGGCGGCGGCGGTGGCGGAGCAGCCGCTGCGATTCAGCTTCAGCTGCAGATCCAACAGCAGCAGCAGCTGCAGAAGCAGCGGGATGCGCGGAAGCTTCTAGATCGATTGCAGGACGAGGATGCTTTAAGAGCCGATCCGGGTTATTTAGAGTACTATTACCGCAACCACCACTTAAACCCCCGCCTTCCGCCGCCGCTTATTTCCCGAGATACTTACCGCCTGGCGCAACGGTTACAGTCTTCCGCCGCGCTAGGGCTCGGCGGAGAGGGTGCGCCGAAGTTCCCCGGCGGCGGAGAAGGCGCGGAAAGCGGGGGAGGGGGGTATGCGCAAGGGGGCGCGGGGGGGTATGATATCCGCGCGGGGCTCGGTCAAGACGGCAGCGCGGGGGTGTTTGGGGAGGATGGCGCGGGGATGGGCTCGCTACGACCGTTCGATGACGGACATGGGCTGCGAACGGGGCGATCCTCGTCGTCCAATCTGTTGTTTCCGCCCTCCACGCTCCCCACTCATCGAGAAGAGATGGAGAGTCTGTTAGAGGATGTGCTTACTTCGGGGGGACAGGACAACGGCGACGGGAGTGCGCAGGGCACCGGCGCAAGCGCAGGCGCCGGCGGAGGTGGCGGCGGAGGCGGAGGCGGGGGGGCGGGGGGAGCTGGCGCGGAGAGGGGCGAGGGTGTGGCGGACAGATGGGGCGCAGCGGGGGTTGGGGCCGGAGGATTTGCGGGGTTGGCGTATCGACCTAAGAGCCTCGTCGATCTTATTCAGGTTAGTTGTACGTTTAGCCTGTCTAGTTAACCTCTAGCCTCTCAAGTAATGTACCCTCACAATAACGCGTATTTACTGTTGTATATGTTGTGGTTAAGTCTTGATCTATTCTTCCGCGCCTTACCTTCCGCGCCCCTCTTCCCCGTTCCCGGCTCTGCAGGAGGACTTTCCCCGCACGCCCTCCCCCATCTTCGCGCTTCAGCGCGCAGCCAGCCGCTCAGGCGCGGACGATTCCGCGGACGCCGCCACCGCCGCCGCCGCCGCTGCTGCCGCCGCCGCGGTACCGTCTTTCCTCAGCGCTTCCGCCAATGACCTTCCGCGGCGCCCGCGCTCGTCTCTGCAGCTTGACGACGCGCACAGGCACGAGCTCGCGCTGCTCACCGCGGGGCTGCAGGCGGGCGGAGGCGCAGGCGGAGGGGGGGGAAGGGGCGCGGGGAACACGCGCGGAGGGGGCGCGAGTAGCGTTCCGCCGCTCCTTGGCGCAGGGTCGCGTTCGGGGACTCCGCTTATCCCCCCCGGATTGGTCGCGGGGAGGGTTAGTCCGGGGCTGGCGATGCAGCTAGCAGCGGCCCAGGCAGCTTCGGCTGCCAAACCTGCCGGTCTGCCTCGGGCGCAGTCCCCAGCCTTTGGAGTAGGTCTGGGTTTGGGCGGTGGGGAGGGAGGGTTGGGGGGAGCGGGCGGAGGGGGAAGGGGAGGGGCTGGCCCGGGGGTGTTTGCGCGGGCGGCTAGTCCTGGGATGATGGGCGGGCAGGGGGAAGGGGGAATGGGACAGGCTAGCGCTGCTGAGCTGGCATCGGCGATTGAAGGACTGCGATTGGCGGAAGGGCAGCAGCAACAGCAGCAGCAGCAGCAGATGCAGATGCAGCAGCAACTTCAGCAGCAGTATCAGCAGCAGCAGCAAATGGGGCAGCAGCAGCAGCAGCAGTTTCAGCAGCAACAGCAACAGCAGCAGCAGCAACAGGAGAAAGATCAGCAGCAGCACTTATTGCAGCAGCATCAGCAGCAACAGCAGAACATGGGTCAAGGGGCTCCGCATTGGTCACACCTCCCCACCGCACTCCACCCAGCGTATCTCCAATACCTCCCCCCTTCCTCTGCAACCAACCCCACCTCCGCCGCCGCCGCCGCCGCCGCCGCCGCCGCCGCAGCAGGCGCAGCATCGTTCGTGGTAGGATCGCCCCCTTACCCAGCCTTCCTACACGAATCTCTCCCCCTTCCGCCGGGTTCCGCCAGTTCCGCCGGTTCCCCCTTCCTCCCCCCGCACCTTGCTGGCGTATCAGGCGCGCCTGGCTTCCCCCACGGGCTCCCTGGCGCGGGGGCGCTTCCCCCTGGCGGGGGAGGCTTACCCGGGGGAGGTTTATCTGGAGGGGCTCCGAACGGGTTTTATCTGTCAGGAGGTGCAGGTGGGGGTGGTGGTGGTGGTGGTGGCGCTGCTGCTACTGCAGGAGCGGATGGTGGCGATGGTGGTGGGGGTACTGTTTCACTAGACGCCAACGCGCAGCACTATCTGCCAAGCGAAGCCGCCCAGTTCGCCGCCGGCGGTGCTGGTGGTGGGGCTTCCGGCCCAGCTGGCATGAACAGTGGCATTGGGCAGTCAGTGAGTGCGGGCGGCGGGGTGAGGCGGATCGGGGTGGCAGCATCAGGGGAAGGTACAACTGCCGGTTTGGGCACGGGTAGTGGTGGTAACACTGGTGCTAATATGGGGGGTGCTAATATGGGGGGTGCTAATATGGGGAGTGCTGTTGATGCAATGTTACCCCTGGAAGTGCAGCACCTACTAGCCATGCACCCACAGTACAGAGCGCAGATTCTCGCAGTTTTATCTGGGCTGGGCGTATCTGGGGGCGGGGGAGGCTTATCTGGTGCAGGGTTTACTGGAGGAGGAGGTATGGGTGGGGGTATGACTGGTGGCGGCAGTGGTGGTGGTGGGAATGGTGGTGGGGGCACTAGTGCTAGTGGGCTTGCTGCTGCTGCGGCAGCAGTAGGAGGAATGGGCATGGGTATGAACTTGGGTATGGGGATGGGAATGGGTATGGGTATGGGTATGGGGTCGGGTCCCTCTGCTTATCTCCCCGGGGGCAGCCAGCCAATGGGGATCCCTGCTGACGTGGCACGATCTCGCGGCGCGGGTTTGCCAGCTGGCGCTCCGCACGGTGGCAACAGCAACAACCCTCCGATGTACTATGGAAGCCCTCCAGGAAGCTTCCTCCCTGTGATGCCCTACCCGCCTTTATCTCCTGCTGGTGGTGGTGGGGGAGGAACGGGCGGAGGAGTGGTGCCAGGTGGCATGTTGCCACATCAGCAGGGCAGCATGCTGAGTCAGCACCACCAGCACGGACACCACGCGAATCTGTACGAATCGATCCTATTGGCTGAAGGAGGGCTGGGGGGTATGGGGGGAGGAATGGGGCCAGCTGGGGTTGGGGGCGGGGCAAGCATGATGGGCGGAGGGGCAGGGGGAGGCGGAGGAGGCGGGGGGAAGGGCGGAGGTTACGCCATGGGTGGAATTGGCGGTGTGGGGGGAGCAGGCGGGGGTGCAGGGGCAGGGGGTAGCGGGAGGAGGGAGGAGAAAGGGGGAGGTGGGGGACTGAGGGGCTCGCCTGGGGGAGGGGGCGGGGTAAGAGGCCATTCAATGCATCAGCATCAGCATCAGCATCAGCATCAGCACCATCACCAGCAGCAGCAGCATCACCACCATTCATCCCACCTGGCTGAATCTGAACGAATGGGTGGCGGAGGGGGGGGCGGAGGGGGAGGCGGCGGGGGAGGAGGCGGAGGCGGGAGCAGAGGGGGCGGTAACGGCGGTGGGGGAGGAGGCGGAGGAGGAGGAGGCGGAGGAGGGGGAGGAGCGGGAGGGGGAGGGGGAGGAGGAGCGGGGAGTTTCTTGGAGGAGTTTAAGGCGAACAAGACGAGGCGCTATGAGCTGTGCGATATTGCCGGGCACGTGGTGGAGTTCAGGTGCGTTGGTGTGATGTGCGGTGCTCACATGCTGCTGAGTGGTGCTCAGAGGTGCTCGGACACGTTTCTTCTCCGTCCCTCTCCTTGTGCCTGCTCCCAGTGCGGACCAGCACGGCAGACGGTTCATTCAGCAGAAGCTTGAGATGGCCACGGATGCAGAAAAGGAGCTGGTGTTCTGTGAGGTGCTGCCCCAGCAGGGGCTAGCGAGAGAGCTACCAATCTCTTTCCCCTTGTTTCCATGCTTCGCCTGTATTTTTATATCCTTCACTTGCAGTGCGAACCAGCACGGGTCGCGGTTTATTCAGCAGAAGCTCGAGATGGCCCGGATGCAGAGAAGGAGCTGGTGTTCTGTGAGGTGCTGCCTTGGCAGAAGCAGCTAGAGAGTTACCCACCTCTTTCCTCCATCCCACGCTTCTCTCGTCTCTATATCTCCTTCACTTGCAGTGCGGACCAGCACGGGTCGCGCTTCATCCAGCAGAAGCTTGAGATGGCCACGGATGCAGAGAAGAGAAGGAGCTGGTGTTCTGTGAGGTGCTGCCCCGTGCTCTCTCCCGCATTACCTCTTTCCCCTATCCCACTCTTCTCTTCTCCACGCTTCTCTCTTCTTCCTTCCGTCCCTCTCTGTCTGCGTCACGTGCAGTGCGGACCAGCACGGGTCACGGTTCATCCAGCAGAAGCTCGAGATGGCCACGGATGCAGAGAAAGAGCTGGTGTTCTGTGAGGTGCTGCCGCGCGCTCTCTCTCTTATGACGGACGTGTTTGGGAACTACGTGATTCAGAAGGTGCGTGTGTGGGGTCAGAGGGGGGTGGAAAAGTGAAGGAAGGGGAGGGGGGGGGAGGGGGTTAAATGCAGAGCAGATAAGGAGAGCAGGAGAGAAGCAGCGTGTGTTCTGTGAGGTGCTGCTGCGTCCCTCAAGAGGGCATGCTCGGGCATGTCTGTCTGCACTCTCTCATCCTCCCACCAAGGTGCAAAAATAGGTCGTTTTTTTTTTAATCAACCGTAAAATATGGTAACGTGTAATAGGCTCCTGTTAGAAATCGTAGACCAGATTAAAAAATACGGCCGTATTTTTGCACCTTCCTCCCCACCCCTCGTCCTTCCCCCTCTTCTCTCTGCGCTTTGTTCATCCTCCTCCCTCAGTTTTTCGAGCATGGGCTGGACTCGCACAGGGCAGCACTGGCAGCGGAGCTGAAAGGGCATGTGCTGGCGCTGGGGCTTCAGATGTATGGGTGCCGGGTCATTCAGAAGGTGAGCGGTGGAAGGATTGGAAGGGCATGGTGCGATGTGGTTTGATGCGGTGCAAAGAGGCTGGATGAAGACCCTGAAGGGGCATGTGCTGGCGCTGGGGCTTCAGATGTACGGGTACTGGGTCATTCAGAAGGTGAGTGGTGGTGCCAATGCGGTTTGGTGCAGTGCTGAGGGGCTGAATTATCTTGAAGTGACACTGAAGGGGCATGTGCTGGCGCTGGGGCTTCAGATGTATGGGTGCCGGGTCATTCAGAAGGTGAGGGATGGGGGGCTTAGGGGAAGCTGGTGGTCAGAGGAAGGGAAGGGAAGAGGAGTTGAAAGGGCATGTGCTGGCGCTGGGGCTTCAGATGTATGGTCCGGGTGACAGAAAGTGAGGGAGAGTTGCAGGGAACGGGGGGAGTGGGGAAAGCGGCGGAGGGAAAGGGGGAAGAGATGAGTGGTAGTGAGAGGTGAGAAGCGAAGGAGAAAGAATGCCCAGAAACCAAAAGCAGTGTATTGGGTGTGTTGCGTTCTGGTTGTTCCTCTTCCCTCTTCCTGTTCAACATACTTTTTTCCCCATACTTATCCATCAAACACTGGAGGTGAGATGATATTTTAGTCGACACAAAAATCTTCCCTCCTCCTGTTCAACATGCCATGTTCCCCATACTTTTCAGGGATTTTTTTAGAATTCTACGGCCTAGTCGTTGCGGAACAGCAGCTGGAGACCATTGCAGAGCGCGAGGGCGGTGTGATGCGGTTTGATGCGGTGTGTGCGGGATCAGAACGGCAACCACGTCATTCAGAAGTGCACCGAGTGTGCTGATCTGGTCCCTGGGAATCGCCAGAAGCCAAAAGTCGTGCATCCAGTGTTTTGTGTGCTGCTTTTGTGATCTTTCTCTTCCACTCCACATACCATACTAACAGGCACTGGAGGTTCTGCCACTGCCGCAGCAACTTGAAATCATAGCCGAACTTGAGGGAAGTGTGATGCGGTGCGTGCGGGATCAGAATGGCAACCACGTCATTCAGAAGTGCATCGAGTGTGTGCCGCCCGCCCACATCGCCTCCATCGTCAACAGCTTCTACGGCCAAGTCGTGGCTCTGTCTACCCACCCCTACGGGTGCCGGGTTATCCAGGTGAGCATGCTTTTCGCTTACGCGTAGGCTGGTGCTCTCAGTGTTAAACAGGTGGGCTGCGGAGGTCTTATGTCCATTAAACAGGTTGGAGCCTCGATTGAAGCGTAGGCTGGTGCTCTCCCCAGAAGTAAGACAGGCCTGTGTGCCGCCCGCCCACATCGCCTCCATTGTCAACAGCTTCTATGGCCAAGTTGTGGCGCTGTCTACCCACCCCTACGGGTGCCGGGTTATCCAGGTGAGTGGAGGGGCTTTCAGGTGAGTGGAGGGGCTTTCAGGTGAGTGGAGGGGCTTTCAGGTGAGTTGAGGGGCTTTCAGGTGAGTAAGCTACCCCACCAGGCAGGCTTGTGCACTCACCAGCAGAAGTGCATCGAGCGCGTGCCGCCCGCTCACATCGCCTCCATCGTCAACAGCTTCTACGGCCAAGTCGTTGTGCTGTCTACCCACCCGCATGGGTGTGCGTCTGAACTGAAACATCCAGTTTCACATGTGTCCACTTGTGCTTATATCTGTGCGTTTCCTTGTGCAACCCCTGCTGGTCTGACTCACAGCGAGTGTTGGAGCATTGCACGGAGGAGCAGAAGCAGAGGGGCGTGATGGATGAGATCATGCGGTCTACCTGTGCGCTGGCCCAGGACCAGTACGGCAACTACGTGGTGCAGGTGGGTGTTGCTGGGCTTGCGAGTGCGTGTGTGTGTGTGTGTGCGTGTGTGTGTGTGCGTGCGTGCGTGCGTGCGTGCGTGCGTGCGTGCGTGCGTGCGTGCGTGTGTGTGTGTGTGTGTGCGTGCGTGTGTGTGTGTGTGTGTGTGTGTGCGTGTGTGTGTGTGTGTGTGCGCGTGCGTGCGTGCGTGCGTGTTGTTTGATGCCTTGTGCTTCAGATGTAGATCATCATGAGGTCTTCTTCCCCACCCACCCCTGATGCCTTGTTCTCCGCTTTCTTCCCCCCTCTCCCTCTATCCTTTCTCAACCTCCCTCCCTCCCTCCCCTCCACACCTTCCCCCCCTCTGCCTTCCCACACTCTGCTTCCCGCCAGCACGTGTTGGAGCATGGGAGTGAGGACGAGAGGAACGTGATTATAACGAAGCTGGCGGGGCAGATAGTGACAATGAGCCAGCACAAGTTCGCGTCCAACGTGATTGAGAAATGTCTGCAGTACGGCGGGCCGGCACAGAAGCAGCTGCTCTTATCTGAAATGCTGGGGAGGACAGACGAGAACGAGCCGCTGCAGGTATGTGTGTGGGCACAGCACAGTAGGGGTGCATAGAGACAAGCTTGCCTGCAGTACGGCGGGCCGGCACAGAAGCAGCTGTTGCTGTCTGAGATGCTGGGACAGAATGACGAGAACGAGCCTCTTCAGGTATGTGGGGTGCATTAGGGCACAACAAGGCACACTAGTAGTGAAGGACCACTTCAATAACTATGTCGCTCAAAAGGTGCTTGAGATGTGCAGCGATGGGCAGAGGGGCAGAGGGCAGACTCTCATGCCCTGGCAATCCCTCGTGCTCCCCCAATCTCCACCCCTCTCCACCACTCTCCCTCACTCCCCCCCCCCCCCCCCCCCCCTCCTCTCCAGGCAATGATGAAGGATCAGTTTGGTAACTATGTGGTGCAGAAGGTCCTCGAGACGTGCAGCGAGGGGCAGAGGGAGATGGTGCTGGGCCGCATTCGTGTGCATCTGCACACCCTCAAGAAGTTCACCTACGGGAAGCACATTGTGGCTCGTGTTGAGAAACTGCTGGCAGCTGGAGGTGAGTTTATGACCACGAGCAGAGGGAGATGGTGCTGGGGCGCATTCGGTGACTGCAGTGTGGTGCTGGCAGGTTTGAAGGTGCAGAGTGGACTGTGAAACTGTGAGTGCTGGCAAATAGGAGAGCACGATGAGTGCTGGTGCTGGCAGGTTTGAACTTTCAAGCCTGGCAGCACCAGCACCTGCTCTCACCATGCTCCCAATGTTGCCAGCACCAGCACTGCAAAGTCTGCACTTACTGTGCTCTCGATGGTACAAGTGAACACACAGTGTGACCGGCTGCTCTTCCAGTTCATGTTTGTACTTGCCACCTGCCGATGGAGAAGCTGCTTGCTGCTGGAGGTGAGTCTTTGACCACTTACATGTACAAGGGCATTCGAGTGCATCTGCACACCCTCAAGAAGTTCACCAACCCTCGAACCGCTCAAGAGGTCCTCTGGGAAGCACATCATCATTGCACGCGTGCATTCGCGTGTCTCTGCACACACACACACTATATATATATGAAAGCACATTGTTGCTTGCATGGAAAAGCTGCTGGCAGCAGGAGGTGAGAGTGGCTTCAAGGGGTGATTCTTGCCTTCACTGCATGTGCATGTGCATGTGCATGTGCACGCACTCAAGAAGTTTGCATGTGGGGAAAACACATTGTTGCACATTTGGGGAAGCTGCCAGTTGCAGGGGTTGTGCCAGTGCCACTCCCTCTCCACTCCCTCCTCACTCCCTCCCCACCCCACCCCCCTCAGGTCGCATGCAATCTCGGGTGGAGAGAGAGAGGGTGATGGCACCCTCGTACGCGGCTCTTGAGACTTCTCTAATTCCTGCTCCTCTTTTCCACGTTCTCTGCCCCACTCCCTCTCCACTCCCTCTCCACACCCTCCTCACTCCCTCCCCACTCCCTCCCCTCAGGCCGCATGCAATCTCGGGCGGAGAGAGAGCGGGTGATGGCACCCTCGTATGCGGGTCCAGCTGGGGGAGGTTTTACTGGCGCAGGCTTTTCCGGTGGAGGGAACGTTGCAGGGATGGGTTCAAGGTCTGGCGGCTCGGCTTCTAATGGTGCAGGAGGGGCGGCAGGACAGGCTGGCGGCATGATGAACTCCTCTGTGGTTGGTTGAGCCCTGAGCTGGATTGACTGCTGTGATTGGTTGATGTGGTATGGTACATGTGCTGTGCATTGTGTCTAAAAGGTTGATGTGAGTGTATGGGATGCGGATGGGTTTTTCCTGCATATAAGGCTGATGGTGTAGAGGCTTGAGAGGGTGGTTGGTTGCGTTGCATGTGTATCTTTGTTGATAATTTCCCGTCAAGCAGCCTTGAGGTTGCATGGTGGGGAGTGTGGACGGTTAGTGGGTTGGCCTTGCACTTTGTGTAGATGGATTTTTTGTAGGAATTGATCGAATATGTACATTCATGTGAATGCCTTGATGTAGTCTTAATTCAGTACTTTCTTGTATTCCGTTACTGATTCATCTTTACCAAGTAATTTGTGCCACTGTATTTCGCTTGTGGTTCGAGCTCTATCTGATCGGTGATTGGTCGAAGCCACTTTTCTGGGTTCGAGGATTTGCGCCGCAACTCTCGCTAACTTAGGGAGGTTATCATTTGAAACCGAGGCTTGGGTTGTGTGGTGGAAACTGGAATTGCCCCAAGCGAGCCACCTTATCCCCGGGCGCAACTTTGAGGGACTTCCATCCCCCCAGGGGATAAGGTGACCACATTCCCCGCCCAACAAACCCTCAAAAGCAGCCAGTAAAAAGGGGGGAAAACTCATGGCTAGAGAAGTTTTGTGTGCCCGTGAAAGGAAAGTTGCCGCATGATGACTTCGTGACTGGTTGATTGACACAAAGCAACAAGAGAACGGTTATTCGTTGGGGAACAAATTGCCCACACTGGCTTTTATGTCCTTACTTCCTCCGTTGCCCTCCGCACATGAAGTGAAGCGGTCAAGTACGATGTTGTGCAACTTGGAGCGGTTTTTTGGTTCACCGTTTTAAACCGAAGTTTACCTGGCTGAACACTCGTATATGAACTGCGGGCGCTCGTGTGACCCGCCCTGACAGTCGTTTCCTCACTTCGAGAGTTTCGAGGACTGCGCACCAACCTCACCTGATGGGTGGGAGAAAAGAAGCGGGGGCTAACCAGAGGAAGCAATAACAAACATACAATCAACAAATTGCTTGGTCTTGACCCGTGTGACTGATACACTGCTATTTATCTAACCAGTTGAGGTCTTCCTCATTCTTCTACACCCAGTTCCGAGCATCTTCGCAAGTAATTTTCGCTGACCGGAAGGTGAAACCCCCGGAAGGGCAAATCACCAGCCAGTGCAGCTCCTGTCCCAGGGCACTTGGTCTCTACTCTCAATCTTCTGTAGACCCTCTCACCTAGGGTTTCTCTTGTCCAGCTCCGCTTTCTTCAACAACTCTACATAACTTGCTTCTCTCAGCAATTCCCCAATTCTCATCACTCCCCATGAGCACAAGTTAGCCTACTTCCAAAATACCTTGTGGTATTCTACCCTTGATTCTGCTAGTGAGCTCACCCAAATATGATGCGAGGGGGACCATACGGGTGGAGCCTTCCCGAGGAGCCATTGCCAAAGCTCGGTGGGAGGTAATTTGCCTCGCTAGAAATTCCTACACCTTTCCATTGGCTCGTGTCGACTCCTTCGCTGGCATATGCCGGTGCAGTTGTTCGCGGTTTGGATTCCTTTTTTATTTTAATTATTGTTAATTATTCGTACGTTTCTCCTTCAGCCGGCAAGGCACGCGCGAGAGGCTATTCGACCGCGACGATCAGAGCCTTAAGTACAAGGGAGTGCAGAAGCATGTCCGCGGCTGGCTCGTCAAGTACGCGTCGCGCGGCAAAACCGTCGTGCTGGGCGTTCGTCCGACGCAAGAGGAGGCGGCGTCGCTCTATGACAAGTGCGGCAATCCTTGTATTTTCATTATCACCAGATATTCCACCACGACAGCTATTGCTGCACAATATCTCTCATGTGGTATTCTGCCGTCGCTCCTCCACGCGTCGAAACCGTCATTCACCGTTCTCCTCTTTCTATTCTCGCCTCTGCACCCCGTTGTTTATTTCGTTTCAATCCACGGCAGGTTCGCCTACAAGGTTCACGGTAACGCCGAGACGCTCAATCTCGGTCTCACGCTCGCCGAGAAACGAGCCCTAGACGCTCTCTCCGACCGCGAATTTCTCGCCATAATAAAAAAGGACAACTTCAATTTGAGCTTCCGAAAAGGATGGAGCTCGAATTACATCGGCGTGAGCTGGTACGAAGACTATGGCGGATGGGTGGCGCAGGTGAACATGGGCGGGATCACGCGGAAGATCAAGCGGAGCAAGACAGAGGAGGTGGCCGCCGTCGATCGCGCGCTGCTGCGACGCGACGGCGACCGTGCGATCACGAACGCGATGATCTTCGGCGGGTGTATCAAAGTCGAGACGCTCATGGACCTCGAGGGGCTGCGCGACGCGGTGATCCTGTCGCGAGTCGCCGAGATGGAAGGTGCGACGAAGCTCCTGTGATTCTGTTTCTCGCTTGTTTGACGTCGCCTCAATCCCTAGCCCTCCTCTCTCCTCCACCCTTTTCCGTTATCGCATTACCTCTTTCAGCCCCCTCTTCCCCCTTCCCCCCACCCTCCCACCCTCTACCCGCCCCCCGCTCCCCCTTCACCTCGTCCTTCATCGTTTTCCGTCACAACCCTTTTCCGCCCTTTCGCTATTGTTAACCAAACACAAGGATAATGGTTAACCTGTTAGGTACTCACTTATTTCCTCCTGCCTTTCACTTCCCTTATTAACCCGGGCACTCACTTTCCTCACTTATTAACCCGGGCTCTCACCAGGTGGAGCCTCCGCCAAGTCGGTTTCCATCGTCCCCGCAACCCAGTTGCCTCCAGGTAACAATTCTTATGATTGTTTTAAACAATTTATGACATTCTTGTTGACTTGGGCCCTCTGTCCGTTATGATACCATCCGTTCATCTAGATCTTAACTGATGGTGTAAGTTGCTAGCATCCCCCGCGTGTGCGCTACTTATGTAATAAACATGCATTGCCGCCCCATGTCTTGTGCTTTTTTCTTCTCCTTCGTCTTCTGCTCTCTGCTTGCAGGTAGCGAGCTGGTGGCGGGGTGGGCGGGCAAGCTCCGCTGGGGAGTGATGCACAACAAGGACAAGGGCGTGTGGGAGATGGTGCTCTATATCGGCCCCAAGCCGTTTCTCCGAGGAAGGACGCAGTTGGGAGTGATGCAAAACAAGGGCAAGGGCGTGTGGGAGGTGGTGCTCTGTATGGGTCCGTCTGCAGGTGGGAAGACTTTTGAGTCGACTCAAAAGGCGTCCAGTCGATTTAACAGGAGTGATGCACAACAAGGGCAAGGGCGTGTGGGAGATGGTGCTCTACATGGGTCCGTCTGCAGCTGATAAGCTCGACCTAGAGCACATGACCAAGGGCGGTTTCCACCTGCACCTCACGTGTTCATGTGTGTGCCTACACGTTCCTCCCTCCCTCCTACCTTATCCCTTCCTTACCCTCGGTATGCGCCCATGCCAGGATGGCCTACAAGTTCCGAGGCACGTCAGCAGTGCTCAACTTCGGCCTATCTGCCGCTGAGAAACTCGAACTCGAGCAGATGACCAAGGACGATTTCCACCTGCACCTCTCATGCCACTCTTCCCCTCCCGTCTTCCTGCGTGCTCCCCCCCCTCCCTTCCTTCGCTTCTTTCTCAGAATGGCCTACAAGTTCCGAGGCACGTCAGCAGTGCTCAACTTCGGCCTGTCCGCGGCTGAGAAGCTCGAGCTAGAGCAGATGACCAAGGACGATTTCCATCTGCACCTGCGCAAGACCTTCGTCCGCAGCTTCCGCTCGCGATCCTGTCCGTCCATCTACAAGGGCGTCAAGTGGGGCCCACAGGAGCAGAAATGGATCGCCGCAATCCGCGTGGGAAACCGGTTCTCGAAGATCGGGTTGTATGATGCAGAAGAGGAGGCGGCAGCTGCGTATGATCGGACGATTGTGGAGGTCCGTGGGGTGCATGTGATGACTAACGCGAAGTTTGTGGACGGGTTGAACCACGCGCAGGTGACAGTAACGGAGATTCCTATAAAGGGACAGGAGGAGGCGTTTATACGTGCCGCGGGGGGAGGGATTGGCGGGGATGCGGGGAGAGGGGCAGGGAGGGGAGGGCGTGGGCGCGGGCGGGGGAGGGGGCGTCCGCCGATCACCCATCTAGCGCGGGAGGAGCGGAGAAACAGGCTGGTGGCGTCGTTGGGTGGTTCTGTCGAAGCAGCTAAACTGGGGATCTCCGGTGGTGATGGTACTGGTGCTGCTGGTGATGGTGCTGGTGGTGCTGCTGCAGAGTTAGGGGCAGGAGCAGCGGAAGGGGAAGGGGGAGGAGGCGAGGGAGAAGGAGGGGGAGCAGCAGCTGGGGATGCGTCTAACGGAGGGGGTAAGGAGGAGGGGAAGGAGGAGTGGGTGCCGGCGCCAAGAGCAGAGGAGTTGGAACAGATAGAAGAATGGATGGCGAATGAGTGGGAACAGGGGGAGATTGTGGGGTGGATGGAGGGGGTTGTTCCTGGGGGTGACGAGAAGGGATTGAGCACGCTTGTTCCTGCTGGCGCTGCTGGTGGCGCTGGTGGTGGTCCTAGTGGCAATGGGGAAGGTGGTGGGAAGGGGAAGGGGGAGGGCGAGGAGGAAGGGTCTCTTGCAATAGACCTGGAAATGGCTGGGCTAGACGATGGGGACGATGCTGCTGGCGGTGGGGAAGGAGGGGGGGATGCTGAAGGGGACTGGGATGAGTTTTGTGAGACGACAGCTAGGGAGGTGGCTGAAGGAGCAGGGAACGCCGACGGGGAAGGTGCTAGTGGGGACGGCGGGGCGGGAAAGAAGGGCGCGGGCGGGAAGGGCGGGGAAGTTGGGGCGGATGAGCTGGGGAACGCACATGCATCTGTAGAGCAACTACTGGCTGCTGCGGAGGCTGGGCCTGGGGCGGGGGCGGGGGCTGCGGGGGGGAGCGCAGGGGGCGCGGGAGAGGGGGAGGGCGAGGGAGAGGAGGATGAGGATGATGATGTGATGTTGGAGTTGAATGCGGATGAGGAGGGGAATGAAGGGGGAGAGAGCGGGGGGAATGGAGGCAGTGGGGAGGGTGCTGGGGGCGCGCCTGGCCGTGATTGGATGGACACTGTAGAAGGGGATGACGACAAAACTGAAGGGGGAGAAGGAGAAGGAGGAGGAGGGGATGGGTCTAAGACTCCAGCCAAGGGACCAGGGCAGGAGGGGGATGCAGGTGCAATAACCCCTTCTCAAGGCCCCTCCCGCCTCCCCCTCACCCCAGGCTCCGCCCCGTCCGCCCTCCAAATCAGCACCGTTTCCACCCTAGCCGCCCCTACTTCATCCTTCGGTGCCCCAGATTCCTCTGGGTTACAGACTTACTCAGGGAAGAGGCCCAGGGGGCGGCCGAGGATACATGAGCATCCGGAGGAGGAGAAGAATAGGTTATCTGAGAAGTATATGGGCGTGGAGTTTAAGGGGCGGACGAGGGCGTGGGAGGCGTTTCTGATGTCGGGGCAGCGGCGGTATAACTATGGGCAGCGGTATACAGAAAAAGAGGCAGCTCGGCTTCATGACAAGTATGTGCTGTGGTTGTGAGTACAGGGTGGCTCTTTTAGAAGTATATGGGGGTGGAGTTTAAAGGGAGGACGAGGGCGTGGGAGGCGTTTCTGATGTCGGGGCAGCGGAGGTATAACTACGGGCAGCGGTATACAGAGGAGGAAGCGGCAAGGCTACATGACAAGTAAGTGCTGTGGTTGTGAATACAATGAGGTGGCTTTGAGTTGACTCAACAGTCACCAGCCGGTATAACTACGGGCAGCGGAATACAGAGGAAGCAGCAGCACGGATTCATGACAAGTAAGTGCTGTGGTTGGGAGTATGAGGTGGCTTTTGTACTGACTTAACAGCCTCTAGGCGGTATGACTACGGGCAGTGGAATACAGAGGAAGAAGCAGCACGGCTTGTGCTCCCATTGTGTACAAGAGCAGCTGCTTCATCACAAGTAAGTTCTACTCTCCTCTTGTGCTCCCCGTGTGCTCCCATTGTGCTCCTCGTGTGCTCCTTGTGTGCTCCGATTCCTGATGTTCCAGGGTGGATTTGAATGCAAAGCGGTTTTTGAGTCGACTCAACAGTCACCAGGAGGTATAACTGTGGGCAGCGGTGTACTGTGAACGAAGCAGCGTGATCTCATGATAAGTAGGGCCGAATGCTGTGTTTGTTGCTGGCTCTGATTCGCCTTGCCATGTTCGTTTTTCCCTACCATTTCTCCAGGGTGGCTTATCGACTCAAGGGACCTACAGCCCCCACCAACTACCCTCTCGGGGAGTAAGACAAAGCTCGTCTCGGCTCAATGGCAGTCGAGGAATAGGCCTCTCATTTGTTTCCTATTCCTGGTTGCTTCCCCTTCCCGTTCCACAGGGTGGCGTATCGACTCAAGGGACCGACAGCCCCCACCAACTACCCTCTCGGGGAGGAAGACAAGGCCCGTCTCGACTCAATGACAGTCGAGGAATTCCTGACCCACGTGCGCCGCACCAACGTCAGCAGCGTCTTTCAGGGCCGGCGTGGCTCGTCCCTATTCAAGGGCGTGAGCTGGATGCCGGACAAGCAGCAGTGGGCGGCGCTGATCAAACTAGACCACGGAAAGGTGAGGAAGATCGGATTATACACCACGGAGGAGGACGCCGCAGCAGCGTACGATCGCGCTCTGATCGACCGCGACGGCCCAGAAGCTCTAACCAACGAGAGGTTCTTCCGGTCGCTAGACGACGATGCTTTAGACCGGTTGTTGCAGTCGCGGCGGTCCCGAGACGAGAGCTGCAACTGGAAGGAACGGGCGAAGTATTTTCTCGATAATATTGACAAGCTAGGGCATAAGTCGAAGAGGGCGAGGGCACCGTCGCCCGTGGGAGCACGGGGGCTTGTAGGAGGGGGTGGGGCGGGACCGGTGGGGTCGAGGGAAGGAGAGGAAGGGCCGCAGGCAGGTACTGTTGCTGCGCTGGGTGGGGGCGCGATTAGCTCTCAGAAGGTGTCTCAGAGTGCTGCTGCTGGGAGGAAGGGGCGTGGGGGTGGTGCTGCTGGTGGCGGGAGGTATGGGAGTGGAGGAATGGGGAGTGGGGGGTATGGGTATATGGGAGGGGGGATGATGGGTGGTGGGAGCGGGGTGATGGGCATGGGGGGGTATATGGGGAGTGGGGTCATGGGGGGAAATGTGATGGGGGCGAATGTTATGGGGGCGAATGTTATGGGTGCGAGTGTTATGGGTAGTGGTGGGGGGTACGGTTTGGATCGGTGGGGTTTGTACCCTTCCCCAATGGCTGCGTCAGGGCATCTAGCCCCTAACCAGCGGGGCATGCCGAGTTTTAACCCCGGAGGGGGTGGGTTTGCAGGTTCCGGGGGAGGGAGGAAGGGTGGAGCGGTTGGGAGTGGTGCTGCTGGGTTCAAAAGAGGCCGATATGATTTTGAAGATGAGGAAGATTTTGACGAGGATGATGAGGGGTTTGGGGAGGGGTTTGATGAGGAGGGGAGAGGAGTGGGTGGTGGGGTGGGACGGGGCGGGTGGGGGGGTGGAGGAGGATGGAAGAGGCAGCAGCAGGATCAGTTGTATGGGGGTGGTATGGGGGGTGTGATGAGAAGTGGTGGGATGGGGTCTGGTGCGGTTGGGATGGACGGTAGCAGTCTCTACGGCTCTGGCTCTCGTGCTGCCGCTGGTGGTGGTGGTGTTGGTGGCGGTGCAATGGGTAAGAGGTCCCAACCCCATACTGCTTCTCCTGCCGAAGAGATACTTCGAATGTATTCAGTAGGCCAGTCCGCACCTGGTGCAGGTGGCCCTTCCCCCGGTACAGACAAAACCGGGGCAGGCCGGGCGGCGCAGAGGTTACCTAGGGATGTAGCAGGAGAGGAGGATGAGGTGGAAGAAGAAGATATGGTGGGAGGGGGGGAGGAGGAAGAGGAGGAAGCGGAGGAGGCAAGGGGAGGAGGATCCAGCCGTCGATTGGGCGATCTGATGACGAGGATTTCCGGCGCGCTATCTCAGCCGTTGGATGAGGATGAGGAAGGGGGCGGGGGGGGGGGGGAGTGGGGGAGATGGGGGGAGGGGAGGAGGAGGATGTGGTGGAGGTGAGGGGAAGAGGGAGGGGGAGGGGCAGGGGCAGGGGGAGGGGGAGAGGACGTGGGAGGGGCAGGTCGGGACGGGTTATGCCTGTCTACTGACCATCTGTTTTAATTGACGGGTGGTTACCCCTGTTTTGCTCCGTTGGATGGGTATTGACCAAGTTCCCCGTCTCTGCCATCCACTCTTTTTGTGACTTTTGGTGACACAAAGATGCATCATTTCCTCCCCTAGTGCTGCATCTCCCCATGGTGGCCTGTCAGTGCTATCCACCCTCTTGTCTCTTACAGAAGTAGTCACCCTCTTCCCTTTTTGTCCTGTAAATGATGCCTTTTGTGTCCGAGTTCTATTTTCTCAAAGCAAGTAAGGTACAAACAGTACTTTAGTGTGAAATAAATTACAGACCGGTACCTACTAAAATTATAACGCACCTGGAACTCAGGTAGGTGAATACAAATCTACTGACAACACACAAGAAAGCAGCACTTGCATTCCTTTCAAAAACATTTGGGCAACTATCTGGGCAACATTTGTGAGCCCGACCAAGGCAAGTTCCTCAGTATCTGCAGCACCAGAACCAACACCCCATGCACTAGTGCAGCCAATCTAGCAGCAGAGCCGAGCCAACTAAGGTTTTACATTACTAAATGGTCTATTGCGTGGAAGCCAATACTTCCCCCCTCAGTCCCTCATTCTCCTGGGTGCCAGCATTTTCTCGAGCATGTTACTCAGCACCTGCGCCCATGAGTCCATCGGCCAACTATCTCCCTCTTATTCCCATTTGTCTCTTTCCTCACAACCTTCTCTGTCCCCCCTCAGTCCCTTAACCTCCTCAGAGCCAGCAGTTTCTCGAGCATGTTGCTAAGGACTTGAACCCACGAGTCCAGCGGCCCGGGCATGCAGTAGTGCAGGCAGTCCAGCTTCGCCAGCTGCTCCGGGTGCCCGTCCCACCTCTGTTCCCCTATCAGCCCCTAAACCCTAAACTTCCTGGGCGCCAGCAGCTTCTCGAGCATGTTACTCAGCACCTGCAGGCTGCACCCACACATCCAAAGGCCCAGGCATGCAGTAGTGCAGGCAGTCCAGCTTGGTCAGCAGCCCCGTGTGCCCATCCGGCCGCAGCACTGTCATCCTCTCCACATCCATCATCGCCACGCCTAGCTGCTCCGCCCCCTCCACCTGGGAAACCCCTCCCTTCCCCGCTTCTCCTTCTCCATCCCCCCTCCTCCCTCTCCTCCCCCTCCTCCCGTTCAGTCTCTTAATCTTCTGGGAGCCAGCAGCTTCTCGAGCATGTTGCTAAGGACTTGAACCCACGAGTCCAGCGGCCCGGGCATGCAGTAGTGCAGGCAGTCCAGCTTGGTCAGCAGCCCTGTGTGCCCGTCCGGTCGCAGCGCTGTCATCCTCTCCACATCCATCATCGCCATGCCTAGCTGCTCCGCCATTGGCTGGGACAGCCTGTTCTGGTGCGGAAACTTGTCCCAGTTGAACGGGAGTTTTGAGGGGTCTTGCGGCTTTTCGATTGGCTTGTGGAATTTCGGGCAGTCTGCGTGCCCGCCCGCACTGTTCCGGTAAATTAGGAGCTTATCGGGGAACCGGTTTCGGAGGTATAAGAGTGTCGTGCGCAGGTGAGGCTCGAAGTCGTTATCCTCTCTATAGTGCGGCCCGCGGTTCAGTATAATCGCGTCGGCGGCGGGAAGCACAGGCGCCCGGGTCCAAGCGAAATGCAGATACTCCCGAGGGTTCCCCAGCTGCAAATGATCGTTCCGGAGAAACACCATCCGCAACCCCGGGCAGACGGAATCACCGAAAGTCACGTCCCGGCAGAAAATTTTGGCGGCGGGACCGATAACCCACCCGCTGCATTCCGGAGACTCCTCCCTTGTCTCATTGAATTCGGAGGAGACGGGTTTTGGGACTCCGAGAAGCATGGAGTCAATCAAGACTTGGAAGACTTGGTGCTGCAGTGAGTCTCCCACAAAGACCAGGGTTCGATCGCGCCCCACTCGGTCGCAGAATCGGCGCGGATCGAAAGGTTTCCACGGCTGCTGCTTCTTGTTGGTACTGCTGCCTGCAGCCCCTGGATTGAAATCTGCGAGCTCCCTGCTGCTTCTACTTCTGCTGCTACTGTGGCTGAATCTATTTCCCCTGCCACCGGAACCAAAAAGACGCCGGCGCTGAGAATCAAACCCTTCCCCTTCCCCTTCCCCCTCGCCTTCATCCCCATTATCCTCCTCAAGCAAATCACTTTCCTCCTCCCCCTGATCTCCCTCCTCCCCCCCTCCTCTTCCTCCTTCCTCCTCCTCATACCGCTCCTCTCTCATCCCCACGCTCGCCACATCCTCCTTATAATCACACTTGCCTTTAGGAACATCCCAAACATACTTCAATTCCCCGCGAATCTTCCATTCGCTAGGCGCACCCCCCCTCCTCACAACATCATCTGCTTCATTCACAGCAATCACCCCCTTTGTAGTCTCCATTGCTCTAGTGTCACACGTGCCGGCGCCCTTATAAGGCCACGGTAAAAATCTCGGCCGCCCGTCAAATTTCCACCGCCCCGCCTGCCCGACACACGCTGCCCACGACCGGAAACTTTCAACCTGCCCGGACGTTCGGAGAACTGATCCTGGAATGACCCTAGTAAGATCTGGAACGGACAACCCCCAGTCTACCCCCTCAGATGTAGCTGCTGGTAGCATAGGCACAGCAAGATTCGATTTTGCTGCTGCCCGTTCTTCCCCTTCTCGCGACTTTCCTTTACCAAGCCTCTTGATTGACTCCGTATAAGCAGCCTCGCTTAAGTAAACGAATTGCGCTGCCCGATCCACCACCTCTTTCACATGGTCTAGGTCGCAAAATAAAGGGGAGTTTTCGCCTTCGGCCCCTCCCCCTGACACAGCTGCCATTGCAGGGTCTACATCCGGTTCTTCCCCTCCAAAAGAGGGGCTAGTGCTGCAAACGGAGGTGTAATGCTGGAGCCTCAAAACCGAGGAGAGGGAGTAGGAGGGGAAGCGGAGGGCGGAGGGATGGCGTAGCTCCAGGACAAAAGTTGCCGGCCGCATGAAGATGGTGTGCATTAGAGTGCTGTCAGTGACTGAAATGAAAAGGGCTGTACGCGAGAAGAGGTTTCGCACTGCATTGCAAGAGGGGGGAGAGAGGGGCAGACAGGGGAAGAAAGATGGGAGAGAAGGTAAGAAGTGGGGTTAGGGTGCTATCGGTGGGTGAATGAGTAAGAGTGCTGTAATGCAAAAAGAGGTTTTGCACTGCACTGAAAAGAAAGAAAAATCCTATCCTTGACAAACGTGCTTTGGCAGTAGCTCACTCACTCACTCCACTCTCATATCCCTCAACAGACTCACTCACTCACTCACTCACTCACTCACTCACTCTCCCCACACTCACATTCTTCCACAGACATGCTAGGGCAGTAGCTAGCAACCCGATGGGCCGGGAAATGCTGAAGCACAACATTCCTGATCGCCTCCGCATCTGCCCGATTATGCAGCCCTTGCAATCCCACCACCACCATCCAATCAGAAGGTAGTGCCGCCCATGCCACCTCATCCTCCTCCAAATCCACGTCAAGCATGGGCAGCACTCCGGCCAAAAACGGCGTCGGGTAGCTCACGGAAAGTTTTTCCTTGCTGCCCGGATTCTGGGCAGCTTTCGCGTCTTGGATGGCTTGGGAGGAGGCTTGGAGGAAGAGGTGGTGGGATTGGATGACGGAGGGGAGGGAGAGGGAGGCTCGGGGGGCAATGGAGGAGGCTCGGGGGTGGTACGGGTGGTTCGGGTCGAAGAGCGAGGTTCGGATGTCTCGCCAAACCGAGTGCTGAGGCTCGTCACAATGCTCGGAGAGAGGTTGGATGAGTGACTCCGCAAAGAGGAGCGTGTTGGGTGTGTGGAAGGGGAAAGGCGTCCATGGCAGGTCGAAATCTAGAATGCTCGTGATCATTCGACGTAGACCCTGGGGTGAGGAGGGAATAGAGAGAGGAGAGAGGGAGGAAAGGAGGGAATGAGAAGGAGAGGGGAGGCAACGGGGAGGAGCGTGTTGGGCGTGTGGAAGGGGAAGGGCGTCCATGGGAGGTCAAAATCGAGAATGCTCGTGATCATTCGACGCAAACCCTGTTGAAGGGGAGGGTGATGGGAGTGTGGAAAGGGAAGGGGGTCTTAGGCAGGTTGACTGTTGAGGTTAAAATGCCAGAGAGCATTGGAGGTTGAGGTTGAGCATTCGACGCAGAAAGGCGCTCAGGAGTCTGCTGTGTTGGAGTCATTATTTTAGGATTCTCAAAAATGACTCCAACATCGCTCAGGAGGCTGCTGCTGCCCCAGTGAATCAGCGATCCCCACCCACTCACCCTGGAGGACGGCAGAGCCACGTGTGCGTCCTTGAGGGCGGCGTTCTTTGTCATCTTGCGCAGAACGTGCAGCAACGGGAGCCTCTCAATGACCTGGTGGTACGAGCGCTGGTCACTCCTTGCTACCATCAGATTCACCACCGTTTGATGTGACACGACTGGGGCGTCTTTCGGGTAGGCGAACTGGCAAGAGGGAGGGAGGGAGGAGGTGCAAGAGAGGAAGCAAGGAACGGCAAGTGGGTTCAGCCTCTGAATGACCTGGTGGTACGAGCGCTGATCGCTCGTTGCTACCATCAGATTCACGACTGTTTTATGTGGGAACACATTCGCCTCATCCCATCCCCGTTACAAGCATACCTTGGCTTTCCAGTTGCAGCCGCCTGTGTCGAACAGGTGCGTCTTGTTAAACACCTGCCCGAAATGATTCACAAACACGTCCCGCAAAACGAAAACCTGCCCGGCCCACTCCGCGCGCTCCTCCTCCGCGCCTCCCCCTCTTGCCCTCCGCATTACCCCCTCCGCGCCCTCCCCCTCCAGCGCCCAGCACCCGGAACGCAGCAATTCCCCGGGTAACTTCCCACTCGCGTTCGCTACACAGGCTTCCAGAGGGTTGTTTGCGACTTTGTACCGTCTTGCCCGTAAAACTGTTGGGGGAAAAGTGGTCGCACCCGGATCTTTCTTCTTGCGGAAGAGTTGGTACACTAGGTCTTCCTGTTGACCAATCAGAGATTTCGTTTCGCCCATATACTCCTCGTGCCAACACGCGTCGATTTCTGGTTGGTAGCCGCCGCAAGGTCTTAAATCGGGGCATTTACCCGCTCCCTTGCAGATGTGCCAGGAAGGAACCTTTTCCTTCTTGCCATTTTTTGGCTTGCCCGGCGGGTATTTAGTCCCGGGGGGGTGTAACTGCGTCAGCCTGTAAAACTTGAGGTTGCTCGAGTGTATCGAAAATGGTAACTTCTGTCGGTGATGTTTCGCAACCGGTTTTGAAACCTTCGCCGCATCGCCATCACTGGACGCCACGCCGTCATCCGGACTCCACTCGTCGCCAGGCTCGTTCACAACCCCGTCGCCAGCGTCGCCCGGCGAACCTCGCTCCTGTCGCTGATGGTATCGTCCACCCAATGACCCGTCGCCGAAACCGTCGCCGTGAACGTCGCCGAGATCTGCGTTTCGCACAAGATCAAGCAAGGAGCTGGACCGTTTACGACCTAGCCCTAATCCTCCTGACTCCTCCTCCTCCTCCTCGGCATCCCTTAACTGTTCCATTGAGCTATCGTCAGGCGGAGGGTAGTCCGCGTCGTCCTCCTGTAACCGCCTCCTTCCGCCACGGCGATTGGTCGAGGCGTTTTCGCGAGCGGCGAAGGCCTCGTCGCACGACGTCGCGAAGGAAAGGCAGTGCGCGCAGGTGACGAGGAGGAGGGTGACGAGGGGGAGAAGGAACAGGCGAATCGAATGCGAGCAAGATGCGGGAT